GCCCTGTGACTCGTCTGCTTGTTTGTTGACTGCAACATTGCACAGCAGCATTGCTCAAAAAGTTGCCCTGTGTATCATCACCTTTAGATTTTATTTAAAATATCTTAATTTGTGTTTCGAAGATGAACGGAAGTCTTATGGGTTTGGAACGACATGAGTTTGAATAGTTTTTTTTTTTTTTTTTTTTCATTTTTGGGTGAAATATCCCTTACAAAAAAGACACTAATTTCAAAATTGATCATTACGTTATACCTATAAAGAAATCATTTGTAATATTGGCTCATAAGATCGATAATCGATATATTGTTCATCACTAACTTTCACCAATGATTGTTGCAATTTAGACAATTCCTCATCTATGTTAAGAATCTATAAAAAAAAACCTTTACCCTTTTTACATCAGCACAAGAACAGTTTTCAAAGCTTAAATCATGCACATCACCAATAAACATAATATATTAGCTCGAGATTGCACTTGAAAGTTTAATTAGTTCACTTGAAAACACTTTCTTATTGAGCCCTTGCCATGTTTGTCCGTCTGTTCTCTTAAAATTTAAATGTGTGAAATTCAATCTGTCCTTTTGATGTGATCATGTTTGATTACCCTGTTGTCTGCAATAATTATTTTCTTGTGATTTGTCTAGCTGTGTCTCTTTCCTATATTTGTGTTTTGCATACTCTCTCTTTCTCTCTCTCTCTCCCTCCCCCTCTGCCTGTCTGTCTGCTCCGAGTGTGTGCGCTTGCCAGACATGCCCATGCCCTGGAGCCAAGGACCATGATGCAACCGTGTTTAAGCTCGAATATTCCCTCCCTCCAGACGTTACTGACGGACATTTTGGCACAGAGAAGTGACAGGAAAGAAGCAGCAGAAAGAAAAAAAAAATGAATCGATGCACCTTTGCAGCATTTGCAGTCCCCTGTGTTTTTTAGAAAGCAAGAATACGAACAGAGTGCACTCTGGGATTTGTAGTTCAGCTGACTCTTCCCCATAACCCTGAATTCAGGTCACTCGACTGAATGAATAACAAATCAACCCTCTAGTTATTTGCACACATCGATTAGACACTTATTGGACGGATGATCTGAACGTCTAAACGAGTACACTAAGATAACCTTGAGGATGTACCATATGACCTGCGTTTTGTTTTTGCATTGGTTTATTGACGTGATTGAGGTTGGTTGACACAAACATGAAAAGTCTTTCATCATTTGCTCATCCTCATGTCATTTCAAATTAATTTTGGGAAATGTTTCAGTTTTTGTTTTTCACACAATGAAAGCCAATGGGGCCCAATGTTGTTTTTGTTTTGGACCCCATTGACTTTCAGTGTATGGATGAAAACAGTTCTTCAGAATATCTTCTTTTTTTTTCCACAAAAAAAAGATAGTCTTACACATTTGTAAAGACATGAGGGTGAATAAATAATATAGGGTTTTGGGGGGATAAATGTTAAATTGTCATGAAGATGAGGAAAAGTGGTGGTCTCCGTTGAGGGCAGACTTTTTCACTCCATCCATGAATTCTCTCTCTCTCTCTCTCTCTCTCTCTCAGCCCCATCATAATTGTGTGCATTACAGAGAGAGGTGCTCAGCTGCTTGTGCATGCATGCACACTCTCATAAATGCATAGATGACTGATGCTGCCAAGGAGAGAGGAAGGGAGGGAGGGAGGGGGCAGGAAGGCAAAGGGAATCAGCGCTAGCATCAGTGAGAGAGAGAGAGAGAGAGTGAGAGCGATAGACCAGACAGGGATGAGAGGAGAATAGAGGACAGTCGGCTGCATTGCTCCTCACACACAGACGGAGGTGGAGAGAGGAGAGGATGAGAGACTGTGGGGGAAGGAGAGGACAAAAGAAGACCGCTGTGCCATTCATCACGACGTTCCACAGAAGTGAGGCTGGACGAGACTCACTCTAAACGAGGGAACTGGCGTGCCTTGGTGATTTTGAAGAAAACGGATAAGAGAAAAGAGCGTGTTTTTGTCTTTCAGGGAGGGGACTGAGCCAGAAAGCGAGTGAGGGAGAAAGAGGAGGAGGAGGAGGATTGTGTGACACTGTTTAAATATTAACGTGATTATGATTTGAACATGGAGGTCATTCGGTTTTACCTAAAATGTGGCACTCGCACTCTCTTTTTCTAATCCAAGGACTTGGGGGATAAAACATTACTTTTTCATTCTGCAACAACTAAACCGTGAGGACAAAAAAAGCTCTTTAAAGCTCCTTAAATTCTTTCACTTTTACTTTTTTGGATGGCAGCTCACAAACTCTTATATTTCTAATGTACATAGTGCTGTCTGTTATCGAACCAATGTTTTTGGTGTTACTTAAGAGTTATGCAGACAAAAATCAGGTTTTTTTATGCAAAACATTTAGATGTCTTCATTTGTAGTGTATAGAAAAAGGTGCTTTTGAATATATAGATAGATATTTCATAGATTTCAGGTGGACATTTTTTAGCGTTTGCTAGTTCTTCTGTCTTTAACCCGGAAGCGTGCACGAGTCTGTCTTAAGTGTGTGTGTACTCTTGAGTAATATTTGATTTCCTCATTGGACTGGTGCCACAACTGCACTCTGTGCATCTGCGGATGTGTGTCTGGTTCATTTTACGTTCTGGTGTCAACACCAATCACCAGTGAGGTGTTGGTGGCGGCAGCAGCTGAACTTTCCCGTCCTGTGCCAGCGCTGGCTGCAGAACACCGATTCTTGCTGGCTCTGAGCGCTCGTGATTGGACACGGAGAGAGTCGACAGGTTTTGTGTTGGCGAAACTTGTTGGCTTTTGTTTAGGTTATTTTATGACACTGTCTCGCACACTTTTTCCTCAGTCTGTTACCATGGCAACAGTTTCATTGGCATGTTAAGTTCTCACGCTTTGTCTTGTGTAACTTCAGTGCAAGTGTGTTGCGGTGTCCCAGGTTAAGCTTTAAATCGGACTTTAAGTTCAATCGAGTCAAAGAGTCCAACCTTCGGATCTTATGAGGGTTCAAGGTGCTTTCTCTGAAACTTTTTGTGCATTCAGTCGATCTCTGAATCAGATTTGCCATATCTAACATTGGCTTTTTTCACTAACCATCAATATCATTGAATTATGATGTTATAATTTGAAAATGGTGTAGTTTAATTCAGGTTTTGCCATTTGTGCTGGAGCTCAACTGCACTAATTCAACGTCCAATTTACCTTTATGATTATGTGAGCAAAACGGCTAATCTCAATGTCTTAAAGACAAGGAAGCCTGTTAGCTACTGTGCATATGTGATTGACAATAGTCTCTCTATGTGGCTGGTTTACTTGCCTTGGTTTTACTTCAGACAAACAGGAACCTCTCAACCTTTAGATACAGTTCAGCCAGTGTTTGATTTTACTGGATTCTGAAACAACTCGTCATATCAAAACAGGGATTTTGCCATATTCCTAACCGACAGGTGCTACACCTATGCTAGGTTACCATTGTGTGTTAAACTGTTACTGATATTATTTAAATGTTTATATATATATTTATAGTCCTACTTCTCTGTACAGGTTCTCCTAAACACTGTGCTACTTCTGTGCCATGTGGTGTTAACGTCAATAAAGTTCATGACACGATGAGCAACTCTTAAATACAGCTTGGACACTTCTGTGTAAGTGCACAAAAAAAGAGCTCTGCAGTGCTGAAGTACTGATTCTGTGCCATGTCGTTGTGATACAGTTTACGAACTTGCAGCACAGGCCCGTAACTTATTGTGCTTTGTCAATCGGGTCCGAGCGGTTCCCTTTACAGGTGCTCTGAGAAATTTCACTGCAAGAATGGCCCGATAGCACCACTAACGTGATGCTTTGTTGAGAGAATTGTGCACATAAATGCCCCGGCCGGGTCCCTCTGGTCTTGTTGTACTCCAGCTGAGATAATTGGGACCACCTTGTTGTCTTTGACTGCCAGTCACATCTGTTGGAACAACTTGAAGTGTTGCATTTGTTCATGCACAACCGAGGCAAGAGACGCTTTCCCTTTGCAGCCCTGAGGCTTCTTTGTGGTCACACACTGGTGCTAAAAAGACAAAAAATAAAAACAAAAAACACCCGAACGGACAAAGTAAGCCACGACAATAGAAGTTCAAATTGTTTTGTGGTAGCTTGTGTAAAATATATGCTGTGAAAACCATTGTAAAAAGAGCAAGACTGGATTTGACCAAAGTTGGCTGGACTTTGCTACAAACTGGTGTTCTTGGCAACATGGTCTTCAAATGCTAATCATTTGTGCGTTTTAGAGTTAGCCTGGTGTGTTAGCTCAGAACCGTAGGAGGTTACTAGACTGTTACCTCTCTATCAGAGGTTTTTAAAGTGCTTTACACTGGGGAAGTGCATTGGTGCGGTTTGACTTTGCTAAGTGACATTTAGAGGGTAGGTTTTCACTCAGGAAACAGATCTATAAAGAGCTGCTTCATCTAACACTGTTTGCCTGATTTTGAGGTGTCATTTAGGCTAATGAGCGACTGATTGATTTTCCAGTTAGCATCTAATGAGCATATCTCTGGAGGCGGTACTTCAGATTTGGCCAATCAGGTCTCATTATCATCACCCTGACAGTGCTGGAACGTGCTTGTTTTAGGAGCATCGTAGTTTCCTTGCGTCCTTACTTCTTCACAGATCACACCAAACAATCAGTGGTTCTCTAAATGGTGCTCGAACCCATGTTGTCTTCTATACAGCCATATTTATCTTTGACTTAACTGTTTCAGGGTCTCTTTTGTCCTTTTCTAAATCATATTTCTACACATTGTTGTTTATCAGGGTTAATTATCTGTGTATAGTATAACATTTGTTTGTCGATTCGGTGAATTATTGCGAGGTTACAAAGAGGCGCAGGCGTTTTTTAAAGGTAAAAAGGAGAAGCAGGACAGCCTGGAGAACGGGAAAGAAGACGAGGGAGGGGGCGTGGAGGAGAGAGAGATTATTTGGAAGAAGAGAGCGAGTGTGGTGGAGAGGGAGAGAGAGCTGGAGAGGCAGAAGCTGGAGGAGGAGAGGAGGAACGCTGTGCAGTACACGGTGTGGAGGCTGAGGGAGGGATTCCAGGAGAGGAAGGATAGAGAGGAGGATAGACTCAAAGAGACGAGTGCAGAGGGTGCAAAAGCAGAGCAGCCTGAGGTGATCTGGAAAAAACGAGAGGAAGAGGAGGAGAAAGATAAGGATAGAGCTCGGCTTGGCGACAGAGGTCCCAAAATCATCTGGAAGAGGAGGGAAAGGTAGTGACGGGAAAAGATGGGTATGTGTCAGCGCTAAGCGTTCGTAGATGTGACAGGAAGTGAGGTGGTAGATTTATAGACTTGCAGTATAAGTAAACCTGCATGTACTCGGATTTCCTGTAATCGAGGTGCTGAATAGCACATATCAGGGGTCGTCAAACTTTTTAGCCCCTCTATTGTTTAATTTAAGCCTGGCCTATAATAACGTGTATAGTTTCACATTAATATACCTTGTTTATTGAAACCCATAAAAATCATCACTATTAAGGTGTGACTTACTTGTATAGTACTTTATATATTTACTTAATACATTTTAATGTTAAAAGAAAAATGAAACATTTAACTGCACTTTAGCTGAATATTGTATGCATATTTGCATTTTTATTTTCACTAAAATAGGATTGTTTCAAATCACTCTGTAGTTAGCGGACATCCGCTTAGTGACTGTAGTCAACGACTATAGTCGGACTGGCTATAGAAGATCCCTGGTGTACATCTTTTTAACACATGGACTAAATTAAGTCTCTAAACCAAACGAAGAGGATTATGTTGATTGTTGCCGGTCTAATCGTCAGTGAGCAAAGCAGTTTGAATCATCATTAAATGATCCACATTCGCTGGATCAGTACTTTAGCATTTTCCATCCATCTCTTCCCGCTCTCTTCCTCTCACTCTATCGATCCGTCTGTCTGACGGAAGCCTCCTCTCTCAAAGTCTCAGCTGCAGCTAATAGGCTTTTTATGGGACTCTGTCAGACAAGAGCTTGTAAAGTGGATCCCAGTGTATGCAAAGACAATGAACACACACATAAACACAATTGCATGCATATAAAACACATCTTTTGAGATGGATAGTATTTACGACACTTTTATAAATATACCAATAACTTCATGACAATCATACTATATTTAGTGATTCATAATGTCCTAAGAAGCTCTATGCAGACTTGAGATCTGATGCAAAACCTTCTACATGCTGTGTATGACGACAGCAGAAAACTTTACTTTTTCGCGCCATTCGTCTTTTCACGTCCTGTTTTTGATACTTTCCGAACCAAACGGTCATCTCTCTGGTGCGATGATGAAGGAATCAGTGGATGCAGAGAAAAAGAGGACTACAAAAGACAAGGGAAGACAAGTTATTGATTGGGATAGAGCAACGTAGAAAGACATTTAAAGACGTTTAGTGGACACTGAGACGGCTGAGACGCCATGGAGCTCGTCCCCAAAACCAAATACACGCCCTTCAGGAGCGACTCCTTCAGCTCAACAGACGAGACGGCGTCCAATCCCTCCCTCCCTTCTTCTGCTCCTCTCACTCCTCTCACCCCTCCTGGCATCCCTCCTTCTCTCTCCTCGTCTTCCCTCACCCCCATCCTCCCTCCTTCGTCTCCGCGGCAGGCTGAGAACAGCCCCACCACCCTCTGCTCCTTCTTCCCCAAGATGGGAGCCCTGCGGCTGGGCGTGTCTTCCACTCTGCTCCCAGGCCTGAAGGCCTCCAGCAGGCCGGCGAGCATGCCAGGCGGTCAGGGAGGTTTGGGAGAGTCTCCGGAAGACACTAGGACCTCCGCCGCCAGCTCTTCTCTTCCTCCTCCTCTTCCTCTCCTTTCTCTAACAGCCCCATCTCCTCCTCCTCGTCCCCCACAGGATATGAACCGGCTGGGCGTGGCCTCGCGGAGGGCCCGTGTGGAAGGGGGCCAGCTCGGCGGAGACGAGTGGACGCGGCACGGCTCCTTTGTCAACAAGCCCACCCGAGGTTGGCTGCACTCGGACAATGTGGTCAGCACCAGCGGGGTCTCTTACTCTGTCAGGGTAAGATACATGTGTTGGGTTGGGTTTCCCTAACCCCCCTTCCTATTGATTTAATTAGTGGTGAATATGCTAGAACAAACTCCTAAACTTAAGTATTAATCTTTTCCAATTCAATTGTTTACCTCAAAAGCAACTGTGTGACAAGTGGTTGATTATGAAACGGACAAAGAAATCTCATATACTTACACTAAACAAGTGACCTGAATTACATCTGAGATATACTGTTGGATGTCATAGACTGCATCCAGTGCTTAATATTGATTAAAGTTAAGATTTAAGTGTGAACTGTTCACAGCCCCAAACAGCCCCACACAAAATAAAAGTAAAAAGATTGCACAAAGCATGTAAGTTATATGCAAGTAATATGTACGTAATCATGGAAGCATGCTCCCAAAGACAATGTTAGAGGGCGATTTCAGACACAGCCCAGAACATCCCACCTAGTATCATGGCGGTGAGATTTCCATAGGCAAACTGTGGTTATATTTTCTTTATCTCTAATTTACACTTTAATTATCTCATATTGTTATACTATTACTATTGTACTGTTAAAATCGATTCCTCCTCCTCCTAATAATAATAACAACAACAACAACAACAACAATATTAACCCTTGTATGGTGTTTGGGTCTGCTGACCCATTTCATTTTTTATCAAAAGAAAAATGATGCGGTTAATTATTTTTTCAAACTCAGACTCATTGGCCTTGGCTAATTTTATGTGAAGAAAATATATCTGAACACATTTTCAATGAAAACACACTGTACACCGACCCTTCACATTTACATTACACACAAGATGTAGGTCATGACTGTGTACCTTTACTCTGTCATCCTCCTCCTGTCTTTGTGTGTGTGTGAGTGTGAATTTTGTATTTCTACACTTGATGTTCCCACAAAAGGTCACAACATTGCTGCAAAATTCATGCACGGCCACCGCCTGCTCTACCAGTCCCACACATTTTACCCTCTGCCATTAATTCTTAAATGTGATCTAACAAAGGTAAAGAGAAAATATTAACCATATATGCTGTTTGTATTGCTCGTAATTGGGATGAAGGAAACATCTGTTGAGTATTTTAACATGAAATTGTTTGATTGTGTTGAATTAAAAACCCCAAAATTAAAAACCCACGAACACTGGCTGAATAACAAAAATATGAACACCATACAAGGGTTAATTTATTAAAACAAACAGGAATGTAAAGTGGACTTTTGAAAAAATAAAGTGAAATAATTTGTATTTACTTAACACTTATATTTTAAACTTTTGGTTAAAGAAAGAAGCCTTACTTGGTTGGTTCTTTTAATGATCATACAGAAATGTAAAAATCTTTGAAGAGTGTGGGCAAAACATTAATTTCAAGACAAAGGGCATTGTCTTTAAGATTGTAGTTTTTGCAATTTCTCTGTGGAAATGTATTATTATTATTATTGATATTTTGCCTTGATGTCTAAACTGCAATGTTTTTTTCTTTATATATATATATATAATGCAAACCTAATTTTGATAAAGGTTGGTTAACAGTTTGTAGTTCTTTTGCTTTTCAATTCTCTCAGCAAAACAGTGTGTTTTATATGCTTAATGTATTGTTTTCTTTAATGTGTGGCATTTCCAGTCTATGGGCAGGAACTACATTGAGAACTTCTTTATTTGATTAGCGCTTCATAATTAGAGCATCAGTTCTCATAAACGGCACACACAGACTAATAACCACATGCACTACAGATATGTTGCCAAGTCAATAATCTTGACACAAGGCAACTGGGCAACACTCAACTGTATTCTGTGCTTTGAATTGTGGTTGGAGATATTGCACAGTAAGTGCATTTAGTCAAGGTTTTGTCTTCTTTGTCTTTGCTGCAGTATATGGGCTGCGTGGAGGTGCTGCAGTCAATGAGAGCACTTGACTTCAACACCAGAACTCAGGTTACCAGGTAACACACACGCACACACACACATTGACTCTTGCCTCGCACTTCCTCTCATATTCTCTCAAATATCCAGTGTATGTATATCCACTGCGTCCCACAGGAGTGATTTAGTCGTACATTCTCCTCATATCCTAATGCACATGTGCACAAACATACACTCTCCCACACTGGTCCGGATAAAAGCCGCCCCTCTGATGAAAAATTAATGTCTCTCTCTCAAAGAGTGTGACAGAAAGAGAACGCAGTAGATGAATGTTAAATAATGACATACACAGCCATTTTCTTACTCTCACAACAATCACAAAAATAATCTGTATGTATATGGGAATGTCACTATGAAGCTGCAAAACATTTGCCATATTAAACCACATTATTTGATAGTCCACTTTGTAACATGCAGCACATTCTCCAATTAAATGTTGCGCTTTTGTTTGGGAGAAAGAGATCAGGGAAGAAGGGAGGCATTATAATAGCATCAGCCCTGCTGTGTAACCACAAAGTCTTTTAATAGAATCCTCTGGAACCCTCATAGTTTCCTCCCTTTTCTCTGTGTTGACGGGTGTGTTTGTTAATGGATGTTACACACATTTGCTTCTCAATATTCACAGTAGCAGCTGCTCGATAAACTATTTTAACTTTTCGGTAAACATTTCATGCATAATCCTCGATTCTCGCTGGAGGGTTAAACGTTGAAAAAACCATTAAGAGGGTGTTTATTGAGTTATTGTATTCTGGACAAAGTAACTCCTTTTTTATTTATTTATTTCATACTTTAATTATAATTTTCTCATGGTCGTATATGTTTTATTTGTAGTTATGTAGCCTATAGAACAGACTTGCTCTGCACATTTTGCACTTGACTATTTTCCTTTTTGAAGGGATTTTCTCAAATATGTATTTTGGATCATTTTTAACCCCCAAAAGCTACAGACTGCAACTTTTTTTTTTTTAAAAACAAGTTTTTATTTATTTATTTACTATTTAGTTTTTGTTGACAATAGTGATATTAATAATAAGTGAATAAGAACATTGGTGTATTTGTTTGCATGTGTGAGATGACAGGAAGTGGAATGACTGGACCATTTGTTTAATGTAATAATTGTCCCTCAGCCATATGAAAATTGGGAATGCATGAAAAGGAGTGTGATGGAAACTCTCATCTAACAATCTGATTATGTTCTCCTCACTATATGTAGTCAGCATATGCATATAACCGTATGTTTTGTATTTCAGGGAGGCAATATCAGTGGTGTGTGAGGCAGTACCAGGTGCCAAAGGAGCTCAGCGAAGAAGAAAGGTATTCAACACTTTATCTTATCTTACTTCCTCAGACACAGACTTTCACACTTTTGTTAGTTAACAGTTGCAGCTCACAAACCTCATAGTGTTCTTCTGTTCTGCGACCTAAACAGTTTCCAGTAAAAATTCAACACACACACACACACACACGTTTGATCAAGTGTTGTCTCTAGGCTGGACAGACTGGTGTTTCAGAGGTTGTTGAGTGCTACACCACACAGGGTTGTGATCAAGTTGTGTTCAAGAGTAATGATCAAGACGGGCCTGTTTCACACAACATGCGTAAATAGTGTGAAAGCGGAGCATCTGTGTAATTGTAGCAGGCGGCTTGTGTTGTGTTCTACTGCAGCTCTGTACAGAAAATAAAGTGATTTCTGGGTTATCACATTTATTTATTTATTTTTTACTTTAATAACAGCTGTTCATTTCAAATGGTATAAGTTGTATGCCACTCAGTCTAAACCAGACATTATCGTCATGAAATTTAATGTGGAAGAGGTTCGTATTCATATCCAAATGGTAATTAATTTACACAAAACTGAAACTAAACCCCAAATCTGGCAAAATTACTGAATAGTGTTTGTTACTGCTTGCAGAACTAGTTCATTCTCTTATTTCTCAATTCTTTTTGTAAAGCCCATATCACAAAAGATTGCATTTTTATCTGCATTTGTAGTTGTATTTTTTTGTATAAAGCATCAAAAATACAGTAAAAACTGTAATATTGTGAAATATTACCCTTAAAATATTTTCTATTTTAATGTTTTAGAATGCAATTTATACTTGTGATTACAAAACTACCATTTTTATCATTAATTTATCTGGTTTTCAGTGTCACGTGATCCCTCAGAAATGTTTCTAATATGCTAATGTGGTTCTCAAGAACATTTTTTTTTTTTGCTGCTTAATATTTCAGTTGAAACAATGGTAGATTTTTTTCAGGATTAAAAGTTCAAAGGAGCAGTATTTATTTGAAATAGAAACATTATAAATGTCTTCGTCACCTTTGATCAATTTAATGCACCATTGCTGAATAAAAGGATTCATTTCTTTAAAAGAACTGTGCGAGTTAAAACAGGCCATGTTTCCCATTAAAATCTCTTTTCATGAATTATTTAGTTTTCATCATTTTTGTCTTGAAATTTTTAGCTGAACTTTTTTTAATCTGGCGAGTGGTGTAAATAATGAAGTCTGTTTCTGTCTCTCTCCAGCCCTCCTCTCGTTGTCTCTCCTCCATCTTAGGGAAGAGTAATCTCCAGTTTGCTGGAATGACAATCAACCTCACCGTGTCGACCAGCAGTCTGAACCTACTGGCAGCCGACTGCAAACAGGTTAGACGTCAGGCATGCACACAGACATTAATATGGTGCCTTCTTTCCTGTATGAAATTCACTGATACCTTCATCTAATGATAAAAGCGTCTTGCGTCATGTAGACGGTCTTCACAGCAGGACGGGTTGGATTGAATTATGCTATCTCTTCCGAATATAAATGTTTCTCTGTATGTTCTTAAAGTGAAGTCTGCCATTTTTGCGATGTTAAAATACTTTCTCATATCCTGGTTGTGCTAGTATGTGCAGAGACCGCTATAAGCAAGCCATTCAAGTAGATGGATTTCCTTGAAAAGGGTAAAACTAGTTTGGCTCTGATCGCAAATTGTGAGTGCTCAATAACCTAAGCAAACAAACTTGTCAATCATCCTTTGCACTAAAATACAGGTTTTAAATGAGATTTTTCTGTGTGGATTGAAAAGAGAAAATCCAAGATTGTGGAGTAATTATTTTTGTTTTATGAACATTTTTGCACTTTATCAATGTACATAGACACTTGTTGCAAGTGGTCACAGAAGACACATTTGAGATGCGTGTTAAAATAATGATTTGTCTCGCCTAGAGCTACACAATTCTGGCTAAATTGAGAATCACATTTTTTGGCTAAAAATAGAGATGACGGTTCTCCCATGATTCTGAGTAGTCAACTAAACAAAAAACGTAATTTACTAGAGGTTCTGACAAAAATGTTCTTGCTGCAGACTTAATATATAAAAAGTTAAATTAATTTTGAAATATATATATATTTTTTTAACATTTTTCAGTTCATTGACTCATAAAGACTTCACTTGTTTCATTACTGGATGAATCATCTTTTTTTTTTAAAGCTACACTATGTAACTCTTTTAGTTTATTCTTAGCTAAAAACACATAGTTCTTTCAAAAATATATGTGCTCATTAATGTATATTTACTTCGTTCAAGTAATAAAGTATTGTCGTGAGTGTATAATATGCCATTGAAAATACACATGGCTAAGGGGTTCTACTGTCGGGCGCCATGTTGCCCCTCAAACTTGAAAGTAAATTAGCCAAAGAGGGACATACCCGTTAATTCAAGCTTCGCCTTTCACGTTTACATTTGAGTTAACAACCATGGACGAGGTCGAACTGGAAGCCATGTTAATCTTGGACTACATTGGCCACCGTAGGAGTTAAAACAAAATCGGAATTGAGAGGAACAGAAACTAATATTCACTGGATGGTCATATACCTTTTCACCGCTAGATGGGGGTAAAAATCACACAGTGTAGTCCGAATGTTCGCTGTTGTCATAAAAGGATTAATAGACACAGGCGAATTGTTGACGTTTAGTGATAAGATCACGTGGGTGAATAAAGATCACGATTTTTTTTAGTGATTAATCTTGATCTTTTCTAGTGATTAATCTTAATCTTGATTAATTAGCCTTAGTCTTGCCTGACCTTCAGTTGTTTTTGATAAGTAAATCTAAGTGTTAAAACATTTTGTTGATTGAAGTTAAATGTGAATATTAGATGAAACATGTAGACTAAATTAGATTTTTAAAATGTTGCCTTGGCAACTGACTGAAATAAGTTTAAAGCACTGAAATAACCTCGTGAATAGTATTCAAAAAGAACGTCAAAACTACTAAAATTAAAATGGAAAATGAAGGGAAAAAGAAAAAATATATATATAGTTAGAAGTATTCTGCATTAGGTCTTCCAAGGGTCTAATCTTCATATATTTGTCGACGTTTAACTAAATAAGTGTGATACCCGGAGGCCTTATAGATTATGTAAAGTTGGCGTATTCGGCAGGAGCAGATATCCTTTGGCTTGTTTACAGCTGCACCACAGGACTTTCTTTTCCTCGCTAATAATTGTTCAGTTTTACGCCAGTGTGTTTGGCATTAGCGCAGTGAGGTTTATCAGCGTTCGGGCTGCTCAGCAGGCAGCTGACTGGAGCCCAGAATAGGGCCTGGAGTAATTGCCCTGCTTATATGTGTTTATCTTAATGAATCTAAACCATGCAGAATTACTGCACACAACTGCTCTGTTCCTCTATGTTGGACCGCATTCTCACCACATCGTTTCTCCCCTTGTCTGTCCATCCTTTGCTTTCACGTCCTTTGGTTTCACACTGTCGCTTGCAATGTTTGCTTATTCTTCATCTCATGCCCACTGCACTCTTTTTTTTGTTTTTTGTCACATTGTCTTCATCTCCATCCCTCTCTCCCTACAGATTATCGCCAACCATCACATGCAGTCCATCTCTTTTGCATCAGGAGGAGATCCAGTGAGTCAGACCCTGTCTCTCGATTTCTTTCTACTTGTCTTTCTGTCTTTACTAGGGATGTTCATCAGTAGTCGATGACCCTCATTGTTAATTTTATTGATTAAACTCATCAGTTGTTGATTTAATCAACTGCAGCACAAATCCGTTTAGTAATTAGCCGAGCTGATGGCCATGCAAAGCCAGAGTCCACAACACACACACACAGATCGCTTTTTAAAAATAAAATGTCTCAATGTGGCCATTGTTAATGCATTTCTCTTTAAATAACACTTGAATTCACTGCGAAGACCTTGAAAGTGTATTGTAGTACAGCATGAAGGATGTGTGTTTTATAAGACAAAAATATTATTGTTTTTTAATAATAAGGCAATATAATTGTTTTCAAATGGTTTATTTTTGAAATAATGAAGTATAATTTTTGTTTTAGAATACATATATATATATATATATAGAGAGAGAGAGAGAGAGAGAGAGAGAGAGAGAGAGAGAGAGAGAGAAATGAAATGTTATATGAAAATGTTTAATTTAATTAGAAATAATTAATTTAGAATAATTATTTAACTTGATAATCGATAATTATTTAATATTTAAATCAAATATTTAAAAAAATAATATTAATAAATACTATATTATATTGATAAATATAATTAAAAAAATTTGTATTTTAAAAAGTAGTAGGATTATTTATTTACCTTTATTTTACCAGGAAAAAAGACTCACTGAGATTAAAATCTCTTATTCGGGAGTGTCCTGGCCAAGATAAGCAGCTTAGTTTACATGGGCATTTAACATCAAAGTTATAACACACAGACATAAACAAATCTCATTAAAAAAAAAAAAAAAGAGTAGTAGTTTTATAATAATCATTATTTAATGGTTAATTTTAAATTATTTACATCTTTCTTTAATCATTTAGTCGGTTATCTGATACATCCCGACAGTTCATTTCCTCATTTTTATCTCGCTCAAGAATCTATCGGCTTCAGTCTCATTCTGTCATTTCTCGCTCATTTGTCTTATTCATCTCATCCATCTTGCTGTCTGTAGTCATCTGTTCTTTTTCTCCCACTGTTTCCTCTTCTGCTTCTCGCCCTTTAGTGAATAGACTGCTTCAACTCTTTCTTCTGCTTATCATTTTGTTCTGTGTGTCTATTCTCAAATTTTTCTTAATGTCCTCCTGTTCATTCTTTTCTTCTTCTCCATCCCCTTTTTTTTCCATTTCTCCCCAGGACACAGCAGAGTATGTTGCCTACGTTGCCAAAGACCCCGTCAATCAAAGAGGTAAAAACACTTTCACATTGAATTCTGTAATATCCTGAAATAAAACGTAAATTACTGCTTTCGTGTACAATTTATTTGAAGTGATGTTAAATACTGTTTTACTTTTATGTGGCAGTATTTATTAGGGCTTTAATTAAAGAAATCGTTAATCCCAAAAGATTTGGAATGAAATGATGTTTAATTTTGGGGTGAACTCTACCTTTAAGGAATGACTACATGATGTCTCGATTTACAATATCTAATGTTTGATGATCACTTCCTGCCTTATAGCATGTCATATCCTGGAATGCTCAGAGGGCTTGGCTCAGGAGGTCATCAGCACCATTGGTCAGGCTTTTGAACTGCGCTTTAAACAGTACCTGAAGAACCCCCCCAAACTGGTTACCCCTCATGATCGGTAAGTGTGTGTGTGTGCTCCGGATCAAACAAATAGTGCAAACATTTACATTTATGTCAGTGTATTTACATGAGTGTATGTAAATTAATTTAAACATAGTACCTCCCTAGGGTCACAAGAAACCCCCTTAATATCAGACTTGTTGGTTTACACCATGCATTGACAGCGCTAACATGATTATCGAACACAAGCTTTCGGTCTTTTGTTTACATAGGGAATTACACACACACTTAAAAGCCTGAAAAATATGTTGGTATAGTTGACTATGTACGCTGAAACTCAATGCCATTGTGTCTATTTGCACTGCTTACCCACATCATACACTGTGAAACATCCTAACAAATGAGTTTTGTCCAGTAAAAATTAAAAATCTGCCAGATATACCAAATGTAATTTATTTTCAACATACTATCTATCTATGGAAACTAGTATTCATATCCTATGCAATGTTGTATCTGAAGAACAGTGTTGATATTGCTAACTATTTATAAGCTAAAACTATTACAAATCTTTGCATTAATTAAAGATTAAATAAAATACAATAGAGTATCCCAGTTCCGCAGACAATCTGTGTAAGTTAGTAACTAGTTTAGTTAGCTAGTCCCAGACTGAAATGCATGTTTGAGCTGTTTTAACTGAAAGCAACTTAAAATATATCAGTGCCATTGATTTGTCTTAAGATGCACATTAGTCCTGTTTTTTTTAAAGGCACAAAAGCTACTTAAATGTCCTAATTTAACTATGACCCTAAGCCTATAAGTATTAGGTGCAATATTTAAGCTTAAATGAAAATATGTTGCATTAACAACTATCTGAAATAAGTTTTTGTTGAGGAACTGAAATTCAACTTAAAACTAAAACTGAAATAATTAATGAATGCTTAATAGAAATTAAAAAAAAATGTCAAAAGCACATCAAATTACTAAAAGCTAAAATAAAATTTAAATGAACTTAAAAACAAAAGCTTTCAACTCTTTAATTGGTATATATAATCCTAAAATAACACTGCTCAATAAATGATGTGTGTTGTTTTAAGGATTTGTAGAAATCTTGACTAGAAATGTCAAAAAAGTTCAGTTATTTTTGTGTGTTTTTTTAATAATTTGTTGTTCCTACTGCTTGTTATAAACAGCATGCCATTGCCCATGTAAATATAATAATGCTTATCTCTCTCTTAGGATGGCTCCTTTCGATGGGTCAGCCTGGGAGGAAGAGGAAGAGGACATGGCTCCACCCCCAGAGGTTCCGTATTACAATAACTTCCCGGGTAAACAGCCTCCTCCTGGAGGCCTGGTTGATATGAGAAACCGTCCTGGACACAGTACAGGAGCCACGCTGGTGAGACACAATTCTATGACCATGTGTTAGTCAGTTAGTTTGATTTGATCTTGAGGCTTTTAAACCTGTGCACAGATAAATTGTTGTTCAGTGACCATTAAATTGCAACAATTTACAACAACTCAGTAAATCATTGAGTCATTGAATTTGGTAAATAGAACGTTCCTCGAAACAAATCTAAATTTTGTGTATTTACAAATCTATGAAGATTTTCATTTTCTTTACAAATGACGACTGCTACGCAAGTTTTGTTAAGGTATACAAAAATACAATTATTAGTATTATTTCATTTTAAATACTAATTCAATATAATCTAATGAATGCTATTAGCTGATGCTACAGTAAGTCTTCACAGGCTGAAAAGCCACCGAAGCCGTCACACATTTCAAACTAGAGCTCGTCGTCTTATAAAAGAGAGAGACTTCAGTGAACAAGAACTATGATTAAGTATGTAAACATGATTTGGTTTATAAAATGGATTTTCATGAACTTATATTTAATATTTAATACTTATGACTTAATATTTATTCAAAAACACACTCTAATGCGATATGTCTCCACAGCCCTATGGACAGCCCAGCCAGAATGATATTCACAAGCAGCCTCTACCTCCTCTACCAGGTCAGGTTTACACACACACACACACACACGCACGCTTCATCCTAATAATCCCTGCTCTGTTCCTTTCATTGTACCACATAGTATTTGTCAGTCTTATATTGTCACACTTCCCTACATTTCATTTTCCTCTCAGCTGAGACTGTCATTGTGCAGAGTGAGTCAGCAGTTTTTCTGTCACTGTCCATTGCTCTCTGTTGGACGCTGCCCAAACCTATTACACAGCTCCTTTCAGAGGTGGCTTCTGGATCGACGGCCTTGCTGACAATAGGACTCAGAATGGCGCGGCTTAAGCACACTCACCTGAAGGTTAACTCAGTTTAACCTTACTGTTAGCCTCTCTTTTTCTCTCCTTTTCAGTGGGTGTTAAGGAGGGAGGCTTGTTTGATGACCCCTCATACGTCAATGTGGATAAACCCCGCCTCCCAGCTGGGGCGGCAGCAGCAGCCAATGGAAATGCTCATAGAGATGCGTTTGACATGAGTGAGTAACACTTGCTGGATGATATAGTGTAACAAAAAGACATTTTGATGATATTTGATGTGTATGTATCTGCTCTAAAATCGCTTAAAGTAGCATTTTTTTTTAATAATTTTTAAATGTTCTATATACTTTTTCAGTAAATGAACACAAGATTTTTTACATTTTTTTGTATACATCACTATAACAATAAAATACAGCAAAATATATTTAAAAGATCATAATCATACACTGTTCGTTCATTGGCCAGAGGAGACTGAGCCTGGGTTCTCCCAAGGTTTTTTTTCTTTCTCCATTCTGTCATCTGATGGAGATCTGGTTCCTTGCTACTGTCTATTTTATAACAATAACAATATTATTACAACATTATTTTTTCATTATATTTGAAACAATCTGTATTGTGAAAAAAGCGCTATATAAATAAAGGTGACTTGACTTGATGTTAGAATGTTATAGCTTGATGCTTAACAATCAACAACCATTTGAGACTCGTAATTGCTTGCTTTGGACAGTCACAGAAACAGCGCATTGCATATAAACAGTAAATTCAGAATTTGAGAGAAGACATTAAATACTGATAGAAATAGACGATTTAGGGCTTTTCGCACTTGAAATAGTGGATCATTTTAAACCCCACTAAACAGAATCCTGGGTTATCTTGATTTACTTATTTCAAGTTTCACACTGGTCATACTGGTCACACTATACCTAAGGTTAAAAGTTAATCCTGGGTATTCATAAACAGCCGTTTCACACTGCACATTCCTAAACCCCGGGTTAAAGTCCTTATCTGCAGTGTCAGTGTTACTGACTCACTGGACAAACGCAGCACGTGATCTGCTTACTTAAAGGCTCTAGCATTGTGCGTCCTAATATTGTGAACTATTCAAACTATACAGGTAAGAATGAAACGGTCTCTTCTTCACTCAAATTGTCAAGTTTTTCATCGCCGTTTGACATTTTTCTTATCAAACGTAGAGACAACTGTTTATATACATTGTGCAGTGTTTCCGTGACTTTCCAAAGCGTGTGAACATAAGGCACACGGTTGGTTAACACCACAAAAACGGTGCTGACCCTGCATCTAAATTAGAAGTGTGAAACTCTCCTTTACCTGGGTTTAAAAGCTGTTTTTAGAACAACGATAACCCGGGGTTAAGAGCAGTGTGAAAAGCCCTGTGACTGAAGACACTTGAAATGTTCAAAATTTCCATTCAATATAAACTCCATAGTACGGTCGGCAATAATGCTAGAGCTTATGTAAACAGGTCACGTGCTGCATTCATCCAATTAATACAACGATAACGCAAAAAATGCAAATAAGACTGTTAACCCAGGGTTTAGGAATGCGAAACATCAGCTTATGAATACACAGAATTCATTTTTAACCCCGGGTATATTAAGAAGCAGGATAATCCAGGATTCCGTTTACCCGGGGTTTAGAATGACCCAGGGTTAACTATTTCAAGTGTAAAAGACCTTTTTAGTAGTACAGTTATAGAAAAACTGAAAGTAAATTCACCAAAGATTTCGGTCTTTTAGAGCCATTTGATGCTGCTTTAGGGGTGTCAGGAGCAGTGGCGCCCCCTCTGGCAGAGCAGTTGCAGAACGAGCCCTGGTTCCACGGACCTCTAAGCCGCAGGCAGGCCGAAAGACTCCTGACCAAGGATGGAGACTTCCTGGTGCGGGAGTCAGGCACCACACCAGGCCAGTACGTCCTCACAGGACAGCAGGGCAGCCAAGCCAAACACCTGCTTCTGGTGGATCCTGAGGGAGTGGTGAGTAAGATGAAGGTCCTTATTAAAACGTTTTGTAATTCTATAACATTAATATGACTTTTTAAATTCTGTATCTTTCCTTTCACAATTTTATAGGTGCGCACCAAAGATCACCGCTTCGAGAGCGTCAGTCACTTGATTAGCTATCACATGGACAACCGCCTGCCAATCATCTCAGCAGGAAGCGAGGTGTGTCTGCAGCAGCCAGTCGATCGCCGAGCTTGAGAAAAAAGGCCGATTTTTCTCCACCATCCTTTTTAGAGAAAAAAAACTCCTCCCTTTCCCTCTCCCTTTTTTTTTTTTTTTTGCCAGACTCTTTTAGAGGAAGACTTTTTTTTCCAAAATGGGAGCGTAAGCTAATCATATCTTCACAGAAACACAGAATTTGTTCCGCATCAACCACCGGCCATGAAATTAAGGAGCGATGCAATCATTCTACTTGAAATAACCGATTACAAAAACCCAAACGATAAGGTGTCTGAAAGAGAAGCTGAAGCGTAATGGATATGACATCACTTCCCCAACACAATACCATGAATTAAGACTGGGGTGCACCTGTAACCATGGCAACAGCCCCAGGCGTTTTTAGAGTCGAGAGTTGATGTGAAAGTACTAAAACTGCAGAACCTTTGTAGCACTCTAAAGATTCACATCTAGTGCATTGGGCGAAATCCAAAGACTTAAGCTTCATATCGATCGTTCGTTTTGTTGTGGTCGGTTTTTAAATCCTTGCATTGCCGTGGTCTCAAGACTGTTTGATGAATATGCAAAACTTTAAAGAGAATACAGCACTCACACTCCCATCACAGATGTCACCGTCCACATCAAATAAATATCCTCCTTTCTAATTCCTACCTGAATTTCCAGTGTTCCTATCAAGGGATAACACTCAAAATGCCTCTATTTCTCACCCTCACAAAACCCATATAGAATTCCGAACATGATCCCCTAGGAAAAATTGGGAATTTTGGCTTTTTTTGGGAACACCCCTGAACATAATGTGAAAGCTTTAGCAGCAAGGGAGCTGTGTGGATTTTTCCTTATGCAATTAAGCAGACGCTGTGAGGAACTTATGCTGTCCGTTATGAGGTATTACGAACTAGTATGTGGAAAAAGGGAACATTCCCTTTCTACATAACATATATCAGACTGGGAGAAAAGGGACGAAAAAAAAAATAATGAAGTGCAATCTGTCAACATGGATGAGTAAGCCGGAATAGGACTGAGGGACTGCGGTTTGATATCAAACAGTTTAAAGCCTAAATATGATGTCATTTTAACCAGGAATTTATATATTTGTTGCAATGATGTATCTGGTTGATCAGCTGACGACATTAGCGTCCGGATGGTTTTATTCTGGGAAATGGAGGTTCTGTTTTCCTTTGTCTTTTCCTCTATTCGCATTGACTATCAATTTTCACGTGTATCGGAAGTTTCAGCTGCTTCAGTATGTTTAGAGCCTTGTTACAAGAGATGATGTGTATTGTGAAATATGCATCTTTTTTTTTAAGGTTCACTGTAATTACTCTGTATTTGAATATTGCAAGTATCCATCCAGGAAGAGGAAGAGCACTCCAAACGAAATCTGAACGTGTCTTTGCAGCCACAAGTGCAGTTTTTTTGTTGAAGCCACAAACAGGAAACCACTTTTTTCATTGTTTGTTCTGAAATTGATTGTGCCTTTTTACCAAACACAGACACAACGATAAAACACAGTCGCCTTTTGTGGTCCTATGGGTAATTATGACACTTTCTTTTCTGAAAAAAAAAAAAAAATCAACTGCAAAAATGACACAAGTTAAGTGAGGCTTAGTTAGAACAGATTTTGGGAAAGCAGTCTTCATTTTCTTCCGCACGTTAATTCTGCTATGCTGTTTTTACTGTGCTTAGTTTAGTGCTGTACTGTGGGTTAAATACATTCGGTTAGTATCGTTACTTAAACTTGCGTTTGTGAATAAACACCTTGTCTCTTTTTCGGAGACCAACATTAGATGCCCTGTAATACATGTAAATAAGCTTCGCCTATGCTAATAGCTATGTCTAAAACCAGTCATTTACTTTGTGGATCTGTGTCAAATGTATCCCTTGGGAATTTGCAAACTCACAGGATTGTGCTGGGTGAAAAAAAATGTGTAAGATTTGACTAGATCTCCTGAAGACAACGCCATCACATTGTGTTTGTCACACATGTCTATGTAAATGATGAGGATTTGCTTAGTCAGATATGCAAAGGCCCTTTATCTGGATGCTTTATGAATCTGAAATGGGCAACTTTTTTTATTTTTAGCCTTTTTAGTGGATGTAAGTTGTGTATATTGAGTCACTGGTCAACATTCATTCCACATTATAAAATCCAGATGGATTCCAGCTGCAGCTGTATGTGACCAGCTCTCACGCTTAAGTGATTTCTAGCCTGTTCTAATTCAAAGTTATGCATTGAATGTTTTGTTTTTTTTAATCATTTGACGTCAGTTTTTATGTGCTGATGGCACCGCAGATCTGGTGACTCTGGTAATGGAGTTTAAACAAAGTGTGTTTATGAGTCTGTGTGTGTGCGTGGACGTGTACACATACACAGGGCTGGAATGGTCTGGAATAATCTGACTATTACAACTCTGACTCGCCACTCAACAGTTTGCTCATTTTCATATTTCTCAGTGGCCTTTTGTTGCATGGAAACCCTTCCTGTTATTGTGGTAATGGTGACTTTTGTGTTGTGGTTGGTTGTTTGCCATTTTTCGAAGCCAAAGGCTATCTTTTTCTTATTTCCTTATATAATTGTTGCCTCTTCTTTTCTTTTTTAAACGAAATACATGTTTTTGATTATTTTAATAATTCGTTTTATGTTGTTGTTCTTTGGGGAAAACATAAATGTTTACACCTGTATCAAACGATAGATTACATATATAAATACATATATATCATTCACCTTTCTGCCTTAATTTTTACCCATTGCCTTGTTTAGCATAAAATCCTTTTAAATGATAAAACGGATATTTATTTGAGCGGCTCTGGTCTTGAACCCTTTTATATACCAGACAAATCGATTGGCCCTAAATGTGTCAGATCTCAGATTCTTATTTCTGGAATGGCCGTGACATTATTTTTTTAACACTTTACATTAAGTTTTCATTTGTTAAAATTGGTAAACTATGCGAGTTAACATGAACAATACTTCTACAACATTTTACGTTAATGGTAACCACTAATACATTTACTACACTCTTAATAATAAAGGTTTTTCTAATGCAACAAACAAGAACCAGAAATGAACAAATAGATTTTTACTAACTTTAACAAAGATTAATAAATACTTTGAAACATATATTGCTCATTGTTAGTTTATGTTAGCTAATGTGTTTACATGTTAACAAATAAGATCTTATTGTAAAGTGCTACCAATAGTTTACAATTAATTGCCTAAATCAATCATAATTTGTGACATTATTGCTGAATAAATAACTCAGACTATCTGTATTTGTGTGTGCCCTAAGGAGAAATATTTTGACAGTCATTCAGGACCTTTCAGTGAACAGTAGAGGAATTAGAGATGAACAATAGGTAGATGAGAGATGTTGTGAGGCCATTGTGTAATGGCAGGCGAACAGTTAGCTGGCATTTTCCACAGCTGAATAAAACCCATTTTACTGGGGGCACTGGGGTGTATCTCTGTCATAGCATAGAGTGGGAAGGCAGTTCACTTTAGGGTTTCTTCAGAGGAGAGGTTGCAGTTGAAGGAAAAAGTGGAGACCCACAAGGCGCAGCGGCATACAAGGACCTGGCCCGCTCACCTCCAATCCCTCCCTGCAAGTATTGCTCGCGCTCTCCAGTCGGCCGTGGAGCGTTGGAGAGAGATGCACCCAGAGCGCCCTCTGCCCCAGGCCATGCCCTCCTCTCTGGGCCGAGACCTGGGAGATGCAGCCACGAGGATGGGCCGTGACAAAGGCATGCTGGGAGGAAATATGGCGTACGGAACTATCCAGTCTCTTAAAGACTGCCTCTACTTCCTGCTCTGCTGCTGGTGCATCAAAGAGATCCTGGACTGAGAATGAATGGTAAAACAATTTATTTTTTAAGAAAATGATTAAATAGCATACATTCAATGTTATTTCAGTATTTATATAGGCTACTACTATTTATATTTTATACATATTTTAAAATTGGCTACCAGTTTTATATTTTCAGTCATTTCAAGGAACCCTCAAACCGTATTCACTTAGCCCTTTCCTGTAATTGTGGACAAATGTGGGCACAGAGGACTCAGGTGTGATTCAAAAAGTATGATATTTTCTATGTAAATTATTTCTATGCAAATTCATTACTATGTAGTTTTATTTTGTATTTTTTTAACTACATTAAAATATCATTCCAATAAGTTCTTATAGCTAAAACTTAAAGATGAAGTGACTTTGCTGTCACCTGGTGTCTTATTTTGGCTTATTTTAGAATGCTCTAAAGTTTTTCCCATTTCCCATTATATGGGTGCCCATTTTTGACCCAAATACAAGATTAAGGAGTTTTTTTTTTTTTTTTTTTTCACCCACTTAACATTGTAGAATTGAGTCAAAAAATTGTGTGTGTTCAGGAGGCAAACTTAGGAAAAGTAGCCAAGTCTTGTAACGCTTGGATCAAGGGAAGTATTTTTTTAAAAATAAATCAAAACTATTTTTCTCACATTTGTCCAGAATACGGTTTTAGGGTTGAGTTTTTGTATATATTTTTTATCTTTAATTTCTTTTTGAGTTTTAGTCATTTTAGTTGGCATATTTCAAATGTAATATTTCTGTTGTCACGTTGCTACATTTCTAATTGTCATTCAAGTTTTTCATAAAATATATAATTCGTTATGTCAACTAAACGGTTTTATAGTTTTAAATTTTGTTTTAATACCAATATGACTACAAAAAAGGAAGTAATTTTAATGTCAGGTTTCAAGTCTGTTTTTAACAGATTAAGCAATATGTAATGCTCATTTATGTCGTCGATTCAAACATTTATTGAAACAAAGCGAGGGCTCACAAACATTTAGCCTTGACCTGGTTTAATTGTGTGCAGTCTACTGAATGTTCTGAATACTTACCATTGCACTAAACCAGTATATTAATTGCCAGTTCATATCTAAAGCAGATATGTAGTGTTATTTATTATGTCTTTTTCTTTTTCTTTTTTAGAGTTTTTGAGTCAATGGATGATTCATCACAGCTGTGTTGATGCGTTGGCCTGAATCCAGATCTCTTTACACATGCATAAACACACATAACAAGCATCAGAGGCTTTTGTATTAATGCGATCTAAAGCAGTATTGTTAAATTGTGCAATAAATAAAAATAATATAGAGAAAAACTGATTGTGTATAAACAGAAAAGGGTGTTTTTTTTAATGGTTTAAAATGGTACAAAGTACAAACTGTTAATGTGTAATGACATATACAAAAAAAAACATGCAAATACAAGTTGAACAAATACAGTATGCCATAAATCTCATGAAAACACATACTAAACTTTTTACATAAATGGTTAGAAAATGTGTCAGTTTTTTATACAGTAGCCTATATATATATATATATATATATATATATATATATATATATATTCAACAATATTATTGATCTGCCTTACTTAAGGTGGACATTGACGCAATTTTCTTCTAGAAACAAACTTTTGTATTATTTTCATGTTATGACTGTAAAGCTGCTTTGATACAATCCGTATTGTAAAAATCACTATAAATAAAGGTGACTTGACTTAGCATAAGTAGCATAGCATATACTGTAAAGAAGTAGCATATGCTTTATCAGAATAAATAAAATAAACTGACGTATTACACTCAAGGTCAATGTAGAATCACTTACAGTGTCACACTATAAAATAATATTGTTGGTTTAACTTAAAGTAAGTAACCTGGTTTCCTAGATTTTGAGTTCATTGGAATGAGTTAAAACTATAATGCAAAACCTGTCACAGGTACAATGCCTGGGTGTTTTGAGTGGTTGATGTGGCAGGCATCATATTTGTTCAGTTGCTAATGATGTAGCTGTAGCAAGCAGATGTTGGGGTAGAGGTTGATTGCTTACTAAAGTCAAAAAGTGAAATAAACACATGCACAGTGATATTAGGTTGCTCAGATCTCTTTCAAATGTCCAGGGCTATAGATTTGTGTTGTTGTTGTTGTTTTTTTTTTTTTTTTAATGTTATTGTATATTTTTTCATTTTTGTTTTAAATCAGTAGCTTTTCGAGACAAACAACATGAAACCAAATAAGCAAACAATAGTAACTAGCTACATCAAAATAAACTATTAAAATGAAAGCATCACAAAGATGAAATTATTTTTTTTAGAGACATATGTTGTTCGTCTGTTTTTCTTATTAGGAAAATATTATTCATTAGACGAGCAAGTGACTCAAACCACTATTTTGCTCCAAATAGCCTTTGAATCTATGAAATTGTCAAATTCGTTTTGAATCTATGAAATTGTCAAAATCAAAAGACACCTCTATGATTTTACGTAACCATACGTATACAGCAAGTCTAATACATACGGATGGAGGGTTGTTCGCATCCCTTTCCCGTTTGTTTTAGCATCTTCACTTTCATCATGTCACCTGTGTTTGTCAGTCACGAAAAAAAAAGGTGTGCTTTGAAGGACGGAGGAGAAAGTATGCTGTCATTGGTGGAGAATGCAGCATGTGGGCGGGATATAGCTGAACGGCAAGCGCTGATTGGCAGAAAACTTTACAGACAAAGCCGTGTCCAAGACAAAACTGCACACTGGAGTTTGAAACTTTGCACAAGACAGGAGAAAGTGGGGGAAATTAAACGTTTATTAAAGAAAGGAAAGGTGCCTCAGAGTTACCAGGTATGCTTCTGTTTGATATTTTTTTTCATTTTAACCAAACTCACATTTGTGAAACCCGTCGGCTTGTTTTTGTTTCTGTATTTCCGGCATGTGCTTGTATGTACAGTGCGCCTCGGACATTTGCTTGAGGGTTTTATACTGAACACTCCCATTTTGACAGCAATGTACACCGAAGTGTAGCTTGTAACAAACAAACACACAGAGAACATACGATGGCGTGCAGAATATTATTCTTGAAGTACGAAAGTTATAATAGTTATGCGGATGTTTTCATATCGTCAAGATGTGTCCTTGTATGGGCATTTGGACGACGTGATGTGAGAGATAAGAATGAGAGGCGAACTGATGAACGACGTTTTTCCTTTCATATCTGGGCTAATATGGTTAAACTCGGGGATTATCTAATAGTTCAAACATTTACCATGGTACTCATATTTCCACAAAATGCCATTGTATAGTTATTGTTAGTCCTGTAAAATGATAATCAGTAATTGTTATTCACAATTGCAGAGTATAATTTCTTTAATTGTGTTACATCAATATTTTAAGAAGCCTGTGAAAGTTAAGCTTTGTGAACTTAAAATGTGATACTGGTGCACTTTGTGCTTCTTTCTGTGTTATTTTTAGCTGTTACCATCTATTTCAGACATTCTTCTATATCCTCAACAACTCTCATGGCTCATGGCTACATTGAAAAAAAAACTCTCATGGGAGTCACATTATTAGCAGACCCAAATTACTGCGAAAGGAAAAAGATCCTTATTAAAGAGTGAAGTGTGTCACAAAATGGTTCGACTGTGGTTGGACTTATTCATTTTTTAAATTTGCTTTGAAGATTCACCATTTTGTCTTTAACAGGGTCCCATTCTTGCTCAGTCTTTGCCAGATCTGAAAAATCTGATTACTGAATATTCATAAGATTTAGCTCAAATGGAAAATGTTTGAAAAAGTTGCTGTAAATGATTGTTAGACTTTGGCCCACTTGGAAAAGTAGAACGCATCAGCCTTGGTTTTCTCACTGGTATTCTGATAGTGACAGTAGGTCCATTGCTTTGTTTTTGTCGGTGCTGTCAGCAGGAGTATAACTCCACCATTCTCTTCTTGCATTAATGCCTTTAGTGCTGTTTCTCTTGACATCCTTAGTTACACAGTTCTGTGCCAAGATATTTGCCAGCAAGGGAACCGGTGGTGCAACCAATGGGAAAACGCAAGGATAATACTAATGAAGTGAAACTCTTTCACTGCACCTCCAGCTTTTCATTGTTTCCATCTCTACTTTTTTTCACTCATAGAGGCCTGTAGTGGAATCACCGTCCTCATTGAACTTGCTCACCACCATCTCTATTATATAAACGTGTGCAAAACAGTAGTATAATACATGTTCAAATTCCTTTACATATCCTTTAAGTATGGTATAGTTTTGGACTAATATTAAAGTTAACCCTTACATTTTATTATATTGTCTGTTGATTTGTCACTGAAATACAGCTGATGACTTCCTGAAGTGTTTAAGAACGCTTACTGTGTGTTTTGCAGTTGCTGGACGGAGCCGCTAGGGGGCGATGTCTGAAAACAGCAACAGTGCCAGTGGCAACAGCGGGACTCTACTTACCCCAGGGTTAAAGGTGCGTTTCAGTGTTAGAAGCAGGGGCAGAAGTCTCTATCGTGATCGTGAAAATTATCGTGATGTTGCATGTCTTGATACATGGGTCAGTGACGTTACGTTAAATCTATCGGTTTATTCAAAAATAAAATGCAAATCATACAAGCAGTGAACTTAAAGTCGCGTCCCGTCAAGTCGAGACTCATGAACCTCTGTCAAGTCTAAGTTAGTCACGGACGTGGAGCTCTCGGCATCTCGAAAACGCTGTGCCGATATTGATCCTCGTTTTATTTCTCCTTTAGTCCCAAAGTCTGCTCATCAAAAAAGTCCGCTACTTCTCTCGTGAGAAATTCATTTCAATGAGTTTTGAATGAGTTTTTCAGCATGTGATTGGCTGTTCGCTGCTGATGTCACACCTAAACTCCTAAACTCAGGATCAAAGCCTGAGTTGACAGAGAAAGTTGGTGATCTGCATCATGGTACCAACAAAGCCTGGTTGGATTGGTTTGGTTTTGTCAACTCGAAACTAATCCTGCAACCCTGAGTTTGTTCAACTACCGTCATGGTACAGGCCCCAGGGATAACGTGGATATTACGTCATTAACAGGCGACAAGTTACAAGGGACGGACACTATTTCAAATTGTGAATTTCTCTGAATTTACAAATTCTCGGAAACATTTAGCATAATGTAAGCAGTAAGCACACAATTGAAATAAATAACACTGTGCGCAAGTGGTTTTAAGATATTATGATTCTGTCTTCTGCTGAACACAAAGGAAGATATTTTGAGAATGTTGGCAACCAGACAGTTGTTGGGCCTCTTTTTGACTTTTATAATAGGAAAATAATACTATGGAAGTCAATAGGGTCCATCAACTGTTTGGTTGCAGAAGAAATTCATATAGATTTGAAACCAGTAAATGATGACAGAATTTTCATTTTAAACTATCCTTTAGAGATTAGGTTTGTTTGACAGAGACACTTTTCATGTGCAGGAGTCTGGAGCTGAGAATGTCGGTCCGGTAGCTGAAGGTCATAAGGTCGAGGGGCAGCTTTCTAAAACACCTGAGCCCTCATCGGAGGCCAACCATGACCTGGAGAAGCACTCCTCCGAAGCATCTGCTCACCAGCCAGAGACTGAGACATCGTCACAGTTGCAGTCTGACCCAGCTCTCACCCATGGGTCAGAGCAAGCTCAGGAAACTCAGGTGTCCTTCCTTGAATAAATGCTTCAGATGATCTCAAATCCTGATGGCCATAATAAATTTTACTGTATGACTTTTAGGTCACCCAAAAAATCAATTTCGGTCATTTCCTCATGCGCTTTTCCTATTTCTTTAATGTCAAATAGTAACAAAATTTTGTTGTTCTACCAAATGTTTGCTAGGTAACATCTCCAGACACGAATGATGGTCGGGCCCAGCTGAATGCAGCACATGTCAATGAAGACCCCAGCTCTGTCACTGCCACTGCTGAGGATGTCAGCTCCTGGACCCCTGACCATGAGGAACGAGAGGCCCTTACAGGCCACTCGGCGAGCCCAGTTTCTCCTGTTACTGATGTAGATTCATTCTCTGACTCGCACACTCACATAGATCCCACCTCTGGATCAAGTCCACTTCCTGCTTCAGTTTGTCAAGAGAGAGAGTCTCTGAGGAAAACCACTGAAGGTGAGTTATGTACAACATAAAGTAGTTGCGCCACATACTTTTTCCTCAGTGTATTTATATTTGATGTCTCTCTTTTGTATATGTGTACATTTGAAAGTGTTGGTGGTGGTCAAAAAACAGAGCTTAACTACAGTTGGCAGGTCTGATATGGAATGATGATGGACTTGCATGATGACTGGTGGCAGCTTGACAGCTTGATTTGTTTAATTTTTTTCTTTATATATATATACACACAGCGTGTCAACTCTGATTACATTTTGGATGCATCATTGTCTAAGCTTTTTCCCTCTGGGTTATGTTTGCTTATAGTGAATGTTTGCTTGTTCCTGCATCCCGAAAACACTACAGACTTCATTCTGTATTGATTGCCCAAATCTTTTTAAATGGTCTCAGATGGTGCATCAGTGTTTGTCTTTAGTTTTAAGTCATTGAAAGGAAGGATAAGGCTACAAAAAAAGTCATTGGCTGTGATGCTTTAAGCAGCTTGTGTAACACAACATGCATTATCACTACCGTTCAAAAGGTTGATTTTGAGTTTTTAAAAAAAAAAAAAAAAAAAACTTCCCAAGGCTGCATTTATTTGTTTCAAAATACAGAAAAAATAGTAATATTGTGAAATATTATTACAATTGAAAATAAATATTTTCTATTGTAAAACATTTTAAATTGTACTTTATTCCTGTGATGTCAAAGCAGATTTTTTTTTTTACAGTTTCACACCTTATTGTAACACTTTACAATAAGGTCTCATTTGTTATCATTAGTTGATGTATTGAACTAACAACGAGCAAATCGCTTGTTACAGTATTTAATTTATTCATTTTTGTTAATGTTAGTTAATAAAAATACAGTTGTTCACAGTGTATTAACTAATGTGAACAAAAACTTCTTTTGATTTTAGTAGATGGTTAAATTAACATTAACTAATTTTATACTTATTAAACAGATGTGCTGGTGGAAATGTAATAAAGGTATTGTAAATGTATGATAATCTGGTTTGGAAATGCTTCAGTATGGCAAGTTTTAGTCGTCTTGCTAATGTGCAGTGCCTGAAGCTGCAGACCAGACTGATGAAGTGACTGTGGGGAGTTCCAGAAATAGAGCCTTCGCCTCAGTACACGAGTAGAGCCTCGATTCACTAGACATCCCTAACCCTACAATCAGAGGACAGTGAATTGTTAATCATTATGTTCCAAGGCCAAAAAAAAAAAGGATGTTCATGTCCTACTTGTTTAAATAACGTTAGCTATTTTACATACACAAATGGCACATCCATAAAGGCCCCCCGAAAAAACAGACATGGCTGCTGTACTAACCAGCTGTATAAAGATTGATTTTTGTGTGTGTGTGTTTAGAAAAAAATTATGTTTTTAATATGTACTGAATTTAATTGTATGCCCTGTTTTTGTGTAGAGTCTAAAGGAGTGTTGGAAACAAACAGGAAGGATGGGGATGGTTTACGAAAGAGAAAAATCTCCCACCTGGGCTCTTTGGACAAGACCGAGGCAGAGGATGATGAAGAAGGAGAGGAGGAAGACTTTCAGCTCCCTCAAAGAGAAGAGGAAACCGTCTTTTCCTTGAATAAGTGCCTCCTTGCATCTGTCATTCTTCTAGGACTAGGAACCATTTTTTTCTCGGGTGAGCATGATGCTTTTTTTTTTTTGGTCTAAAGATTTTGGATTATCTGGATTCATTATAAATGCAGTACATAGCATGTTCAGATAATCAATTAAAAATGAATGTATATTATTTTTAATAATACTTATTAAGTCTAATTCTCACCACATGGACAAATGGCAACATACACGTTTTGGGGGTTTTGTTGGATCATTGTGTTTCCCCTGTCGGCATCTGTTGGCATTGGTCAGGGTTTGTTCTCACCCCACTGAACATGATCAGTCGACGTATGTTATGCCTGTTGGGGCTGTGTGAACTTGAGAGTTATTTTTCAGAAAATACTAAATCTAATGGCCGACTTGGTTGTTACCGTTTGTGTGGTGTGAATCGGCCTTTAGAAACTTATTTAATTACCATATTCAGCTCTAAAATGTTTAATTAAATGTATCATTGCAAATTATATATCATCAACTTAACAATTTGTGTGACTTTTCTTTTTTTCTTTTTTTTCATATATTGGATCATCTAGTAAAGATAGAGATTAGTTGTCAGTCACTAAATACCACACATTCATAATGATGGTTATAGTCAAATTCTCCTCCTGAATATGGTTTTCATAAGGGCTCATGTGACCATAATGTACCTATGCAGTGGCCTACATCAGATAGTGAATTTGAATATGTTCCTGTGTCTGAGGCTGAGGTGTGTTGTTCCACAGGTGTTCTCATGGACCTGGATGATGGTAGGAAGAGAGAGTGTGCATGTGTGCGTACGTGTGCGTGCACGCCTGGTATTCCCTGTATTATTGGGACCAACCAGGATAGTAATACTATACCAGTCAATTTTGAGCTTATGGGGAATTTTTTGGTGCCCATGAGGAAAGCTGCTTATAAATCATACTAAAATGCAGAAGGTTTCTGTAATGGGTAGGCTTAGGGATATGGTTAGTGTGAGAGGGTTGAATATACAGTTTGTACTGTATAAAAACCATTATGTCTATGTCCCCATAAAACATGGAAACGTATGAGTGTTGAGCTAAGAGATCATTTAGATCAAAGTAATTTGCTGTTGCTGCTTTTGTGCTATAATGAAGATGTGCTATATATAAACACTGGTTCTCAACCTTTTTGACTCTAAGCCTCCCCCATCAGATTAAGGATAAGGAATTTATTTATTTATTTATTTGTATTATTATTATTATAGGCAAATTTAAACCTGATAAAATATTTTAGAGCTTAGCAAATCTAGAAAGCTACAGTATATATTCCTGTTGTGCATTAAAATGCCCAGAATCTGATTTCTAGACATTAAAAAGTCATGTACAATCTGTACATGACTTTTTAATGTCTAGAAATCAGATATTTTAACTTAGGCTGCCTCGTATTGTACTGTACCTGTCAAGACAAAAAGATGCTGAATTTATTATTGTGTTTTTAGCTTGTTTTAATGATTGTTTTGTCTTATTTTCCATCATTTTGAGATATCTTGAAGCACCATAGTGTACTCCAGCACCCTGGTTGAGAACCACTGATACACGCTCATTGTATCATATATATTACATCATTATCATATATATTATTTGTATGTGACTCAAAATGTTTTATAGCTTGAAATATTTTCAACACCCCACAAAACTAATAACTGACTATATTTTTTGATTTCAGACATTTAATAAAACATTTGAATGCTTCATTACATCTAATAATAAGTGCATTATTTATTGTAATGATATTATTTAACTTAATAATTTAAAATATAAATTATTTTTGTGTACTTAATTCTTATTTTGAATAATACTTAATGTAAAATTGAGAGTTTTTTTTTTTCTTGGCACAAAACAATGTTTCCTTTTTAATTGTCTCTTTTTTTTTTCTTCTTTTTTTTACCGTAACGCCTGACAGCATTTTAATATCCTGCGACGCCAGTGGATGCACAACAAGTCTAAACAACTTTTGAAAGATTGACATGCCATATCAGATTAGAGAAATAAATGCATACATTTAAAAAACTAATCGAAAATTGTAAGATTAAATTCAATTCTGAACATTGCATGCAGTGCTGCAACCGCATGCTTTCTGTGTTATCCTTCTATCCCTATTGTTTTGAGTGTTACGGTTTCATGTTTCCTTCCTCATTTTATTCACATTGACATGTTGCTTTTTTTGTTACGATGATGCATTTTCAAGTGAGCTTTGGTCATGTTATTCTCCTCCCAGAAGCAGACATGGATGTTAAAGACCTGAAGAATCCAACAAATCAGGTCTGATCATTTGCTCTTCTGTTTTATGTGTGATTTTTCAGACCTACAATTTATATCTTTGTCCATATTATATTGCCTTTTGAATTGTAGATGTATTTGTGTGTGATAGGAGTGGTTGAACCCTGAAGTCTCCAGAGACACGCCTGTTGATCTTCAGCCTCCAGATATTTTAAGCAAACAGGCAAAGGAAGATAAGCAAATATTGATACTACAGGCACAACTTCAGGTACAGACATGTGCAGATCTGCACTAAATAAAGTCCAAAAAAGTTTATAGCACTTCTGCCCCTGCTTCTAACACTGAAACATTTATAACGTTTCTCAAGGTTTTTTGAACCAACAACAGTTCTAAGTTTGTCTTACATGAATGTTTTTTTTTTACTTTTTCTTTGACCCTTACAAGTAAATAAACTGTATTAAAGGAGTAGTTCACTTAACTTCAAACAGATAATTTGTCATCCAATGTCATCCAAGATATCCATGTCATTCTTTCTTCGGTCAAAAAGAAATTACTCAGTACGAATCTTTTTCCGAGTCAATTCGTTCATTTCGTTGAATGAACCAAATGACTCGAAAAAAGATTAGTTCATTTTGAAGAGTCACAGAACAGAGCAAGGCGAGCATTTGAGCTTATAAAACTTAAACTTTGTTATTTATTTTTTAAATGAGTGATCGTTTCGCTTGATAAGACCCTTATTCATTGTCTGGAATCGTTTAAAGAATTTGAACAGTTTGCAGTTTGCACTGAAAGTGTCTTTTGGACCTTGAACTGTTTGGTGCCCAAGAAAGTGCATTATATGGAGAAAAATTCTGAAATGTTTTCATCAAAAACCTTAATTTCTTTTCAACTGAAGAAAGAATGACATGGATATCTTGGATGACATGTGGTTGAGTAAACTATCAGCAAAAGTGAACGGCTCCTTTAAGTGCACTACATTAATATGTATACAGTATATGTAAAATCATCTCTTATTCTGTTACTCAATGTCTCTGGGTACAAGCGCTGTTGCAATTTACTTTTGAATGACTGTTACATGACATGCAATAAGGCTATTTCTATATTACATCATTCTCTTTTATAATTCAAAGGAGCAGGGAAACTTTAGATTTCCAATGTATGACCTCTTTAAAGTGTTTCAGTTGTTCACTATTCATCATTTGCCCTATTTGTAAACTCAGCAGCATCAAGGTGAACTGAAAGCAGCGCAGCTTCAGGTAGAGGATGGAGAGAAAGAGCGTGTGAGGAGAGAAGAGCTGGAGAAGGAGTACCAGAGGATAAAAGCAGAACTAGACAGGCTACCTGCTCTTCAGAAGGAGCTGGAGCGAGAGAACGAGAGAATGAAAGAAGAAAATGTGAGAGCAAAGAAAGAGCTGGAGGCCCTGCCATCACTGCAGAGTGAACTGGAGCATCTGAGAGCAAAAGTTTCACAGCTCACACAGAGCACAGGTGCGGTAAACGCACATCAGCAACGATCCATCACTGAAACGCATGTGCTCTGTGAATTTGCTATCCAGTAGCATATGAATCTCTTTAACTTGATGCACTTCTTAAAAATGCAATGCTCGAGAAATATTTAATCCTACATATTAATAATATTAACTCTCTTTCAGAAAGCGCAAAACCCGTGCATCCCGTTGCAGCCTCTCGAGCTCCCCCTGCTGGAGACAAAAGAGATGCACTGCCCATAGACAGACAAGACATGAAGTACAGGAAGACTTGGGACAAAAAGAGTGAGGAGAAAGAACAAAGCAAAGGAGACAAAGAAAGGAAAAAGAAGAAAAGTGGAAAAAATGAAGATGACAAAGAAAGGAGCAAGAGAGAACAAACTAAGGAACAGAAAGACTGGAAAAAAGATAAAAGCCACCAGGAAGAAGGTAAAGCCGGGAAGAGAAAAGAGTGGATGAAGGACAAAAAACGAGGTGATGGTAAAATAGGGAAAGAAAGTGAAGACAAGAGAAAATTTAAAGAGTGGGAGGAGAAAAAAGAATGGAAGGAAGATAAAAAGGGGAAAAAAGACAAACATGTAGGACAGGATGAGAGGAGGGGAGACAAAAAAGACTGGAAGGATACTGGGAAAAAGAAAGGGAAGGAGGAAAAGGAATGGAAAGGGGAACGGAAAGAGGACAAAGACCGGAAAAATGACAAACAGAGTGGTGGGAGTGACCATAAAGAATGGAAAGAGAAAAAGAAAGGTGAAAAGGAGTGGAAAAAGGAAAAGAGTGAGGGAAAACACAATGATAAAACAGAGAAAAAGTGGAAAGGAGAGAGAGAGTTTCCCAAAGAGGATGGTGGAAAAGATAAGGAAAAGCATTGGAGGGAGAAAGAAAGAGAGTCAAAAGATGAAGTCTGGAAAAGAGAGGGAGTAAAAGAGAAAAAAAACAAAGCATTCTACCACCAAAATGAGGGGAAAAAGAGTCCTAGTGAAAAGGAGAAACCAGACGAGACAACCTCCCATCACCACTCCGAGCATGAGAACTACTGGAGCAAGCAGAGAGAGCGGATCCAGCACTTTAACGGCCAGCGAGACACGTGCAGCGGCGTGGCAGACTGCGCTCGAGTCGAGGGACTCGCTCCTGTCGGCCTGCGGGACTTCCAAACACTTCTCCAATCCTACATGAACAAGCTCCCCGATCCCCAGGACCAGACCTCCAGGGAAGAAGAGCTCCACAAGCTGGTGAAGGAGTTCTTCACGGATGGAGTGTTCGCTCATGATCAGATTCCGTTCAGTGAGTTCGTGGACGACGTGGGGGACATCTTAGAAGACCTGGCGGAAGGAGAAGAGAGCGACAGCGAGGGAGAGGAGAACGATGAAGACGATGACGATGAGATGGAGGAATTTGAAAGGGAGGCGATGGAGAAATTTGCACTTCCAGAGGAATTGAGGAAGGGAGAGCAGAAGAAAGAGAGCAGAAGAGTGAAAGGTTGAAGGTGATTTTGGAGTTTTCAAAAAAGGTACATCTAGAAAAAAACTATCAGGCCTGATTTAATCGTGTGGAGTGTCTTTTCTAAAGAGCATATTCATTTTGATCAGTTAGGCTTTGCCCTTTCTTTTAATAGATACAGTAAAGCAATACTGTAATGCCTTCTTCACAACATGACAGCTGTTTTTGCTCACTTTCCTTTTTTTTTTTTTTACCTTTATTTGAACATGTACATAATGCCCTTTTGACCATTAAATAAAGACTCTTGAGTCATCGCAGTCATCTAAAGATCCGGGGCTGGATTCACGATTCTTCCTTAATAAAACTCCTTACTTTTATTTTCTCCTTATTTTCTGTTTTAAGAAATGTTAAGAATATTGTTGGTCTTACCACCAAGAATTAGAAAAAAACTGATGAAGAATTCAAATATTTGTGATACAACTGCACAAAATTGTAAATGCCATCTTCAAATTATGATATAGGCTATATAGATGTTTTAACAAATTAATTGGACCGTTCAAATATTAAAATACTAGATACAGAATACATATTACAACTATATTTTACTTTTATAGTCTAGCATTGTAAATTTGTTGGATGTTTGTTTTAAATTATAAAACCTTGGGTTATCAGTGGAAAAAGAGACCGAAACCCGTTTTAGAGACGATGAGGTGCTTGCAACATAAAATAGATGAATACATTTGTCTGTAAGAGTTATTGTATTATATTTGTAGTAATATGTTAGTATACAATCAGTCGAATCGTTTTATCATTAAAATGATTGATATTTTATCAAGATATTCCTGAATCCAGCACCAGGAAAACATTCTGACAAAGGAACAGTTTTTTTTGGGACTGATCAACTGTTATGGCACATCAGGTTTATCTTGGCACATTTCACACACACATAATATTTGTCATAAGAATGAATATTCATCAGAATGTAGTTCAGTGTTGAGTGTGAAAGTTACAGTCAAAGCTCATTTGTTATAATATTCTTATTTTGTCTATCTTTTAAAGTAGTCATGCAACTATCCATTTGCATAATCATACTTGACTTAAACACTGTAAACTGAGTTGTACTGATTGACTAGTTGTATTAATGCTCATCATTTTTGTTATGCTCTGCTTTTTTAAAGTCTTTAAATTATTTTGTTTGTCATTAGGGTTAGGACTCTTGGCCTATTGTTTCTGATTTGTTTGAGAGTTTCACTGTTATTTATACATTTTAATGGAGGATAGCGTTCGTATATAACATGCCTGTATTGTTTGTAATTCTTAAAGTGTTGCTATAGCCAACAAAAATATAAGCAAGTCCTTAAAAGTGCAGGCCATCTTAGTTGAATGTAATGGTAAGATGAGTGAAGGTTTGACATTTTAAGCAGTGTAATATGTGTTTTTGATCTCAATATTGCAATTGTGTCCAACTGTATGCTGTCAGGCAAAACTGCTTGCACATTTACAGTTTTCACAGACTTGTGCTTTTTTGAACTGTCCAATGCAAAAACTCTACACTTAAGGCAGGGTGCAGAGGTTTGTCACAGACCACTAAATTGTAACAAAAAGTGCAACAGATAAATGTAGTAATTAATGTATTTTGCAATTTTTTTTAAGTTTTAATGGCTGAAGTTCAGATGATAATGGTAGTGGGAAATGTTTTTGCTGTAAAACTGTTTACAGAATAAAGAGGTGCATACGGTTATGCTTTAAGTGTTTCTTTTTGTTATTTGCCATTTTTAGGGAACCGTCTAAATGAGGCCTGCTACAGTGACACTATCGCAGTTCACAGCTGGTAAAACTACCTCTATCTGCATCGCGTCACTTTGTAGTTCCTAAATGTAGTTTTCTTGCTTCCTCCTGTGCTGCACAGCACTATATTTGAATATACAGAGCCCGAATTTCTGCTTAAATGTCAAATGAACTGATTCTTTGTTGTTGAATGTTATTAATTTTATAAAATAGTCATTTTATTAATTAATTTATTTATTAATGTCCGTTGGATAACGCTTTGCTCGCTGGCCTTCCATAGTCCTCTTCTTCCGCCTGAGAGGATGGGTGGAGAGAAGGTTTGCAATGGCTTAGGAGAAGGAGGAGGAGAGTCGAGGAGATGCAGTATTATGCCTTTGTGTCTTTTTGTAGAAGAGATGAGGCCTGGGTTCTGGGAGAGATGGCTCCTTGGCTGGAGGAACAAGGGAACCCGCGAACAAGGCTCTGTTTGCACAACAGAGACTTTGAGGTGAGGTTATAAATCAAATGACTTTCTTTGTGAATTTAAATGCAATACAAAAAGTAGTTTTTGAGGTACCTGCAGGCTGCATTTAATAAGCATCATCAGTTTATCCATCTCCAAGATGTTTATCCATCTCCAAGATTACTCTTGTTGGTGAGTAAAAATATCATTGGGTGATATATTGAACAGTAATTGAACCGACTTTTCCTCATCTTCCGGCTCGAACACATCTCACCACCCTTTGAGCTCTCTGCTTTCCATCGGTAGGTAGGGGAAGATGGAAAATGCCCCGTTAAGGACAATGTGCGAAACTGCAAAATGTAGGCTATTAGCCAACTCAAAGTTTTGAGGCCCATAAAAAAGAAATTGGTAACACTTTACAAAAAAGTCTAATTTTAACATTAATTAAAAATGAGCAATACATTTGTTCCAGTATTTATTAATCTTTGTTACTCTCATCCTTCCCTTGTAACAAATCCTTCCCTCAAGGGTCAAAATGACCGGAAGCCCTATGACTGGGAGATTTTTTTAATTCATCATTGTATTTACCTTTAAATAACTATTTGTTTATTAATATTGTATCAATAACATATTACATAGGCTAAATTATAATTTAAGCACACCCTTTACATTCTTAACTTAAATTCAAAATAACACAATTTCGTGCATAACCCTTTTAATTCAGCTCAAAACATCTTACATTTGGTGTTTTTGCAGACCACTTGAAAAACTAATATAACATAACAACTCTTGCCACTAGATGGCCTTATAGCTTTTCTCTGTGTACTGAAGCATTTTTCACATTCCATTCATTCCTAAGGCCAAGGGGTTCAAATTCACCCCTGAGGGAATAATGTGTTACTTTTTAAAATTTCAAACACAAAACTCCTAATTTCCTAATGAAACCTTATTGTAAAGTGTTACCATAAATTAATACTTTTATCCAACAAAAACCCATTAAATTGACCAAAAATTACAGTATTAAGAAAAAAAAAACTTTTTCAAATAAATGCTCTTTCTATTCGTTCAAAAAAAAAAAAAATCTTGGGGAAAAAAAAAAAAAATTATTATGGTTTCCACAAAAATATCACAGCTCACCAGTTCCAAGGAGGAACAGAAGAAGACACTGTGTGATCATGACTATAATATAAACTGAAGCTTCAAAAAAGAATAATGTTACAAGTGTTAAAAACTATATTTGAAATAATATCTTAATTGTTTTACAGCAAGCTTCTTAAAACTTCAACATCTTGTGTGTTCCTACTTATTGAATGAACAAAAAGACTGTAGTGTTATGCTATCAGTGCCAATTCATGAGTATATTGAGCTTGACATATGGAGTATATTTGTAGATTCATGCTTTTTTAAAGTTGTCACTGTTTGAGTCTAATCCTAGCTTAGTTATTAATTTAAAAAATGAATACATTGCTCTTATCACAATCTTGTTCCTCAATGTCTGCACATAAATTTACATTCTACACAGAGTGCCGCTTTCGCAAGTTACAACAGAAGATATACTCTTGCAAATAACGGTAACACTTTACAAGGTTCATTAATTAACTAACATTAACTAACTATGAGCAATACATTTGTTACAGTAAGCCTATTTATTAATCTTTGTTAATCATTTAGTTCACAATGCATTAACTAATGTTAACAAAATACAACCTTTGATTTTAATAATGTATTAATAAATGTTGAAATTAATATTAACTAAAATGAATAAATGCTGAAGAATTATTGTTCATTCATGTTAACTCATTTTAATGAACCTTATAAAGTGATACCCAAATAACTTTATTGCCATTGTCACTTAAAGCTGTTTTCCTGTTTATTCATTTTAGACCAGTCAAAACATGCTTGAAATTAGTTTTTTAGACAAACATATATATTGTACCTATGAATTAATTTATTTAGGCTACAGAACTTCAGTTTCATTGTCAAAGCCTGCACTCAAAAGATGTGCGCTCTTTTTTTACTGCAATACCTCAGCAAAAAAAAATAAATAAATAAAAAAATAAAAAAATGTAAACCTGACAACGACTTCTTTCAAACACTAAAGGGCGCTGTTACACAGAGAGTTTTATGGGGGACTTTCCATAGACATAAATTGTATTTTAAAACAGCATATTCCATCTACTAACGCTACCCCTAACCTACCCATAAAAAAAAAAAAAAACTTTCTGCATTATACATCACTTAATACAATTTATCAGCTGTTTTCCTCATGGGTTCAAAAACATGGACAAGGATTTTGGATATTGCGCGTACACACGCACACACGCATGGGTGGTTTAAATTATCTGGCTATGCAAAGAATTGGCATGTTAACATAGGTCAGTTTATATTTAAGTCTTTACATCATTGACATTTTAGATGAGATTTCCAAATCCACGTGCTTGAAACATCAACAGCTGTCTTTGTTTAATTGCCACTTAACTGATCAATCTCAGCTGCAGCAGATAACACACACAACTACTTCAAGCTGTTCACACACAGCCCTCATGTATAGGCGGAATGCATGCAGTCCTGCATCAGAATCAAAAGAAGCCCCACAATCAATCAGTCCATCATGTCTTTACTGATTGAAGCTAATCTGCAAACCAGTTCTGAAAGCTTCAGTCTGAAATGTTCTTTTCACATCTGCGCTTGCACAATGCATTTATTTCTGAAGATAGCCTACGCCTATGAAGTTGAGCAACCTTCTTTACCTTGACAACTGATAGAAAATATTTACTAAATTAATATCTAAAATATAAATAAAACATTGCCTTCAAAATATATTTACAGGTTATGTTACATGTTTATTACTACTATTATTTAATTTTTGCAATTCCAATGCGATACAGCTCATGTAGAGGTAGGATTAAGATTTGGGCGTGTCCTGCTTTACAACATGTGCTACTCATTGTTTTAACATACAGTGATACTTTTGACATTTTATGCCTTTCAAGATTTATCTTGATCCCAAAATACGACCTATGATGCCACCCGTGTTTTAAAAATGTTTTCTAACTAAGAATTGATACCATGGTATATTAAAGGGTCTCAAATTAGTATTTACATTTAAATTATAATGGGTAAACTCTAAATCATGTTTATACTGTCAATTTTATACTTTTGACATTAGAAATTTTGCATTGTAATTAAAGTTTTAATGCAGTGACAGCAATAAATGATGTTGTATTGTACCATAATTATGGCAAACAATGCTACTCAAAGGCAAACAAAACCTACATTAATGTTGCATACACCAAACAAACAGAGAGTGTGGGCTTAGAGAACAGGGTGGAGGAGAATCACTGGACTGTGAGGGTTTTGTCTTGGTAATTGAAGCACATGTTCCTGATAATTGTCTTCTGGTATGCTGTGCTTTCTCTCTCACATAGCTGTATTCTTTCTCTCTTCCTCCCTACCTCAGACACATACACTGCAGAAAGAAAGTTACCCGGTAAAGAAGACTTCTTAAATGTATATTTTGATGAATGTGGCAAAAACGTGTTGGCTGAAAACTTGGAAAACGGTATGACTAAACTCTCAAGGTGTGGCTATGATGATCTCACTATGCTAGTGTCTCACTAAGCCTTTGTGCAACAACCAAATACATGCTACTACTTGTGATAGGTACTCTCTCAGCTCATTTAGATGTGGGCCATGCAGTTGGAACAGAACATAATAAACCAGAAAGCAGAAAATGTGGTTGGTACCTACCACAAAAAACTATCTACAAATAAAAAATAAAAAAAACAATTGAAGTGGTATTATTCACTTCCTAAATCCTCTTCTCACCTCTCACCTCATTTTCCAGCTAGGTTATGACTGTAGTAGACAACACTTTCTGGGGAGTTATGTCCACACAACACCTCTCTTGAGTAATATATCCTGTTTTCCCCACCCATAAAGTTCTGGGTATACGCCCAGTGATTTGATGGGAAAAAAAGCAACTTGGGAAGATTGGAATTCACAGAAGAGGCATTGTATAGGCATTGCACTGGTTTAACTTAGAAGAGGCAAGAATCAGCAGAAGAAAAGTTTGTTTCAAAACTAGGTAAGCATTCCTATTTGATCCTAAGAGGACAAACTCTATTGTTTTATTTGACAATACTAAGTCAGTTTAGAACAAAATGAGATGGCTTTGTGGGTATTATAACACATCAGTTTCTATGTTTAGAATATTCATCATTTATTTAACTTGCTTTGTCTGGATACCTTGCTAGTAGTTTTCTGGTCGTAGTTTGGCCCAGCCTTGTTTAAGGAAAGTTTGGGGCATTTTTCAGCTTGTGTAACTGGCCAGTTAGCTGGTTGGAAGACACGAATACAAATCTTTGGCAACAGGGTTCCATAAATAAGGTTTCGTGCCCAGAGCAAATGTGTCACTTTCCGTTGGCGTTTATACGCTGCCTAAATATTTCAGTCCTTACGCGCGACCGTAGGCTCACTTGTCCGGTGTCTTAAAGGTAGCCGATCCAATTCCCTGTAGATGTAACGCAAGCCCTTCTCCCTTTACACCAAATAAGAAACCAGAAACCACCCTTTTATTAATTCAGAGCGTTTTCTGCCGCAAATCCTCCGCGTTAAGTGAATAGATTCGCTCATTATTATGCGTCATTTGCAGTCGACTTAACGAGCGTTAGGGGGGAAAGGCTCTCGGTCATCTCAACCGTGCTGAGCACGACCTCAATGTGTCAGCGACGACACGGCCACCAGAACGGCTTTAATAATTAATATGTATAGTATAGATAAGACAGCGATGGTTGGAGCTGTCCGATAACCCAGAGCTCGAGACTTCCTCAACATTGCCTTCAAGAGCTGACAACCTGGTACACGATAAGGAAACAATTTACACCTCACGGATAGACAGCTTCAACATTTAGGCACTGCAAAAACAGCACCACTTAAATGAATAAACTGCCCTTCTTTCTGGACAGTTCACCCCAAGATTACACCCACCCGTTGCTCCAAATCATTCACTTCATTCTAGACTATAGAAAAATATTATTAATATTACGTAGCCTATTAATATTACAAAGTATAAATTCTTTAACATAACACTTTAGTAAGCTAGCTGCAATTACCAGAGTACTTTACAGCATGCATATTTGTTTGTTTTTAAAGAATATTTATTTGAAAATACATTTAAGTCTATGATGTGTCCTTTATCCGCTCAGTTATTTTAGGAATCAGATCATTCCATTCATGTTAGGGCAATGAGTTAAGTGTATTGTGCCCTTGCAGGAACAAGAAAACATTGAAGAAATGCCTGCTCAAGTGTTTACAAGTTGGCCTATTATTTGTTTTGTGAGCTGAGCATGATAAATGTGAACAGTCTTATTCATTTACTCACTTTCTAATCCACATTCTTTACATTTTCAACTAGTGAAGCAAGTTTGGCATTTTTTTAGTCATCATCAGGAAACAAGGGTAAATCACAAGTAGCCTGGAGGGACATCTAGAGGAGCAAGAATGGAATGCAGTTCAATAAAGAAAACTGGGAGGAAGGCACACTGAGACTTAGTTTTGCCACTATTGTTTTTTTGTTTTGTTTTTTTAATTGTCCTTGCGAACAAAAAAAATCTTTCCATTGACCTTATTTAGAGTAGATGCTGTATTTATTTATTGAAAAATGAAAACAAACAGTCTGTTTAATTGGTTGTAGCCTAATGTTATATATGGTGTCAATATATTCAGCCTATAATTGAACAGAGTATATGTCCATTCTTCAAAATTTCATATGCAAAAAATGAAATATTGTCAATACTGACTAAAGACTTTTGCTATTCACAGTTTCACCACAGAGCAATTTGGGGAAGCTACTTTGAAAGTGTCGCTTGCCAAGCTACAAGCGTAATAACTTGAAGTAGCTACAAAAAAATGATGTCTATCCAATTATAATATATATTATGCAATTTATAATATAATCATAGACACATTTTTTCTGGCACAAACACAATGAGTGATTTTAAATGAATGAACAATTAATAAATGAAAAAATTACAATTAATAATAATACAATTTATTCTAAGGTGAGTTACATTTTATTTAAATAAGTACTGAGTAATCCTATTAATTACATGTACTTACTATAGAGTTAAGGTTAGTTAGGGTTAGGGTTAGTTACTAGTAATTGTCCATCATCATGTGTACATGTAGTAACGTGTCTGTCACCTTAAAATAAAGTGTTACCTAAAACTTGAACAGGTAAATTTATAAATAGAAGTAAAATTAGCATAAGTGAGTCGAATAATATATATATATTTTTTGTAAATCTGTTAATTTACATGAAACTTCTGAACAAATCGATTCACTAATGAATCAGACTTCATGGCATCCATCAGAATTCAGCGCTTAAAAAATAATGGACGACTGTTTAGGACAAATCGAATCGCAGTAATGACTATCAAAATATGAGACAGTTTGTTTATTCCTTTAGCTCAGCATTTAGTTGTCCTATATCATTTTGCTAAAGTAACTTATTAGTGGAAAAGCTATACTGTCACGCTTCTGAATGTAATAAATGTAATAATAAAATGAGTTGCTCCTCAACAATGGAGCTATTATGTTGAGAATTTTGTGGCACTCACTGAAGTCTGTAGTCTGTTGCTGTGCTTTCCAGCGAGCTATTATTGCTCATTTCCTTTTGGCAACTGCCATGTTTTGCAAGGCTAAATGGGTTTTGTTGACTTCTGAATTTCACAGCATCTCATTACATGACAGTTTGTTTAGGTCATTTGGGACTAATCACTAGGAGCACCTATCCATCATCCTGCCTGATGCTTCTTTCTGTCCCAGTGTGAGCTTGAGTATCACTCCTAATGAATAGCGTCCCATTTAGAACAATGACAACATATTTAAAGACAAAGACACTTCTCTCTGCAACAATCAGCAGATTCTCTCCTCCACTTGCGTGACCTTATTCAAAGAATCCATCTTTCCACGTCTGTAACTACAGTAATGCAATGCCACCTTGGTTGCTCAGAAGAGAAGGCAATAATAACCTATATTCCACCAGGTCTACCTCCAGTCATTTTCACCCAAGCCCTGCCCAGGCTTCTCTGTCTAATTAGGTTAATAGAGGTCCATCAGTAATTGGGAAGACGACAGGGCAGTGGTGTAATGTACTAATGTTAGTGGTGTAGTGTAAGTATTCAGGTGTGACGTCTGTCAGATGGAAGATTTAGGCTACTTGAAAGGGATGGCCTATAGAATTACACACACGTATCACCCACATTAAAATCAAATTCATTTTTTTGTGTGCATGTGTGCGTTGTACTTGTCTCAAAGGAAAATGCAGGCCTTGTTCAGTCAGTTTTTAGTTTAGTTTTTTTAGTCCAGAAAAAAGGAACTAATGCATGATATTATCAAATATTAGTTTTTTTTTCTACATATTTTTTATTGTGCATTGTCATTTTTACATTTAGATTTCATTTGCACTTTTTAAGCTAGTCTGTAAAAACACTAATAATTTAATAAAATTGTAATCTCTAGCATCGTATCGTGTATTTTGTGGGATTGTGGCCTCCTTCATAGGTGTTTTACCGTACCTTGTGTCTGTTATGGACTAGCCAGCTAAATGTCACTGGATGGAAACCCAAATTAGATCATTAATTATTTGTAAGTCAAATGTGTGATGGGATCTTATACAATAATTTGAAATGCAGTAGGATACACTATATTGCTTCACTTTGTGTGTTCGTAAGGACAGGTTTAAAGGAGTACTCATCCAAGAGGAAAGGCCTGTAAGAGTGTGTATGTGCTTTTGTGTATTTTCGTTGTTGGATGAGATAGAGAGAGTGTAACAGACATGTAGCAGGCAACCCCAATGGTAATGCGAACCTGAGGATTGAATGTCCGTTAAAGATCACAGGTTCCATTGTCTTGGTATATACTACAGCTCTACACACTCCTCTGCTCCTTTCTCTCGCCTCTCTTCTTCATGCTCTTTGATTATTCTAACATCATCCCTCTCCTCAGGTCACTCATTTTCCAGTACCTGCCCTTCCCTTTTTGTTATCCCAGCTGCTAAAACATCACTAACTAAAGAAACAACTGAAAATGATTTATCATTATACAGGGTACGTTTACACAACAATGATGTACTAAAAACAGAAACGATTTCCTTTGCTTTTTTCCACGTATGACAATAAAGTTGTCAAAACGATCCCGTTCACACATACAGTATATCCGAGAAATTACTAAAATGCTGCATAATGCATTCAAGGCCAGCATTTTGATAAAGAAAAACGAATATGTGATGTCGCCACTTTCAAAAGTGTGCATTTTCAGGTCACCAAAACTTTGTCATATAAATGAATGGCCAAAATGCATACATTTTTTCCATTTTTAGTTGAAAACGGTGTTGAGTAAACAGCCACTCAGTGAAGGGAGATCAATTAACTAATGAGTAACTATGGAAACAACTTTGAGCTTAGAAACCATGACTAACACTAGGAGATATAAACTAAGGGCGGGCCATTTACAGAACAATATTGTGGCTTAAAACAGAAACCTCATGTACTTCAAGTCTAGCCTGACTACTTCCGCTAATTTCATTTCGCTCCAAAGTGAAGTAGCAGAGTCTGGTATTACCAGGAACCAAAATTAATTCCAAAGAGCCTACTACTACTGGAAGAAATTGCTTTCCAAACTGACCTTAAAATGATATTCAGCATCTTGATCAAGTCTTGCTTTTGATGTCAAATTGATATCAAGGTGGGTGAAACAAGTAAAAGCCATAACTTTTTACTTATATATTGCCAAAGCGTGGACATCCAACGCACATGGCACCCTTTAGCGTCAAATGAGACACAGATATGTGGCAGAAGGCGCCTCCTAGTGGTCTAAGCCTAACCCTACCCCATACCTAAACCTACCATAAGCGAAGCGTCTCATTTAACGCTAAAGGGTGCCATGTGCTTTGGATGTCTATATATATAAATTATAATATTATATAATAAAATAAGTCACGCTTACTGTTTTACAGGCTAGATTTAACAAAGCTAGATCAAAATACCAAGTACCCCCTTGGAATTATCCCATGCACATATTGTCAGAGGATGAATCAGTTTGTGTTCTGTATATTTACGTATGTTGTCCTCTCCTTTCTACGGTTACAGATATGGAAGGTGCCATTAAAACAGTTGTTATGCAGTACCTGTCTTCAGCACGGGGAAAGGAGAATCTAAGTGGGAAGAACTTCCAGAAGTTAGTCCAGAGTCAGATGGGCAGCATCCTGAGTGTAAGGAGCTGAGTTCCAACATGTGACCAGCTTTTAACAAATCTCTCATTTTGCTCCATTTAGTTGACGCACAACATGTACATCTTAAAGATTTTATGTTAAAAAATGTTAATTAAAAAAATAATCATCTTTTTGCCTTCACAGACATATCTGTGGATTCATTGTGCAGTGTAGAGAGCTTTACTGATTATAATGGATTTGAGATGTTTAGTGATTATAAAGGGAGCTCTTGTCGTGTGCTTTATAGGTTGTATATAATCCATTCAGGATTTGAATAAAAGCCTTTTTTTATGCTGCTAAGAGGACCAACAGCCACATACATGCTGAAAAGCGTCAGGAATGACATCCGCATATAAATGTCAAAACTAGACTACCCTCACCGATTTTAGAAGCCCTCTTAGTGTTTTGATTCTGGAACAGGGCCTGCAAGTAAATTCCACAGAATTCATTATAAATAACAAAATTATTATAAAAAAAACTAAATGATTAAATGTTTAGTTTTAAATTTGTAAACTGAGATAAAGCTTACTCAACTTTATTTGTTCGTGGGACAACTGTCTAACTCTCAGAGAGATATTCACCTCAGAAAAGAAAGTATAAATCAGGCTCATAGGCATTCTTCTTTTATGATCTAATATAAAAAAAGTAATACAGCTTTAGAACAACTTCAAGTTGACTAATTATTTACTGAATTCAGCAACACGATCCTATAGATCCCACACAAACTACAGTTAGATAATTGTTACAAAAGTAAAAGAGCACAGTTGGTGTGTTGGGGCCCATACCTGGAATTTGCTTTGGGCCACCAAATCACTAAGTCCGCCCCTACTATGCCTCATTACACGTGTCCATTCCTGACTGGGCTAAGCTCGATTGAGTAATGCTGAATAGTTGAGGATTGACACATTCTATCTCTCTCTCTCAGGACACTGACAGTTCCTCAGCAGTGAAGGATATGATGAAAGGACTGGACGACAACCAGGATGGGAAAGTGAGTTTCCAGGAGTACCTGACGCTGGTGGGCTACCTGGCGAACTCAATGAGTGAACAGAAAACTACAGCTAGTGGTGCAGACGCCCCAAAACACTGATGACAGTTGATTACACTGACACTAATTTGTAAATGCTGGAGTATTACACCAGTAATCGTGGTAGGGAGAGTAGGGCTAGTTGTCACACTTTTTACTTGTAAAAGTCTGTATTTTGGCCAACACACAATGGCCAACACACATACATTGGCCAACACACAATGTATTAAAGGTACTTTCCTGTTATCTGGACCCCATGATGGCCTACTCCTAACCCCGCCCCTAAACCTATCCGTCACTGGGGTTAAGACCAATCAGGGATGACTATAGTTCCGAAATGGTATATGGTGGGGTCCGGATAACAGGATAATACCGTATTGGAAATTACAATATATGAAATACATAGCAAAACAAACGTTTAGCTGTACTTTTGACTCAAAACCACACAGTTGCCGAGATTGAGCCCTTGTGACTCCCCAGTGTAACAACTAGCCTCGGACTCTCTCTAATGCACTATACAATCTGCTATTAAACTACAACGATATGAAAGGCTTTTGCATTTTAAATATATTACATTGAAATTATAATACTGTTTTCATGTATTCACATTTTATGAAAATATGAAACAATGACCTGTGGCCAATTACAAGTGCTAAAAAAACCTTTTGTACAAGTTCCTGCTTTTTTTTTTTTATTTGCCTTTGCCAAAATTCCAGGCAACAGGTTTTTGTAACAGGTTTTCATTTCAACACTCATAAACGATTTAAAGGTAGGGTAGGCAATGTTTTTCAGTAACACTTTTTGTTGGCAATAAAAAAAAAAACAGATAAATAATCAAATAAAATAATGCTAAAGATGTACAATATATCTTCTGAGGAAGTCTCAGGACCAAAAAATATTCGCCCAATCATTGCATTTGTTCTAAATGCAATAACAGAATGTCATACCTGTCTGTCAATGTATGTATTTACACCTCCGCAAACCCTGCTCGCGCAGACATCACACGTCATCAAAACAACAAGCTTTTGCTGTGTTCACGCTGTAACTACAGTATACCAAAATTAAGGGATGGCAGCACAGTCAGGTTGTACAAGTCAAAGCTCTTTAAGTTGTTTATGTTCATTATTATTGTAATGTTATGTGCTTTGAGTCACGAGGTCATTTAAAGCCATCTTTCATGAAGCTTCTGCTCTGGCTGTACGTATTCATGTATTTTTGGAGGAGACGTGGCTTTGGAGACACTCTGAAGAGAGGGTGGGATCTTATGCTTGATATAGCTAGCCTTTCCAAAATTGCCTACCCTACCTTTATTGTGTTTTTACGCAATGATTAGTGCTTTTTATGCTTGATAAACAAAACAAGGCATTCGAATTTAAGCCATACTGCATTTATAGATTTACTCTTCAGCTTTGTCTATTTGGAAGAACGATGAGGTAAAATAGAACATGTTACACTACTTGAGGAATGTTTTGTATAATCTTTCAATAAAAATATGGAAATAATGACAAAATATTCTTTTAAGTCATTTTCAGACATGTAATACATGCTAAACATCATGCTTTAGGGACATTCTGAGCACTAGCATGAGTACGTGTTTTAATGTGTTAGTTTTCTTTAATTTTGCCTATTTGTGTGTGTGTGAGTTCTTATATGCGGAATTGTGTATGTGTGATTTGTGTTTTATGAAAACACAAATGTGTATTATGACATGGGTATTAGAATTTAAACATGGTTCCTGTGTTCGCGTTAACCAACAACATACTAAACAGTGTTTAGATTTCTGTGATGAAAGGTATACAGTATAAAAACCTGTTACGCCTATGGAACGGCCCCGTAAACCGCATGTAAAAGTGTGTGTGTGTGTGTGTGTTTTCATTTGGCTGCCATATGTGTATGGACACTGTTTGCTTAATGATGAATTAACACCTGTGAAACAGTATCAGGTGTGACAGGACCAAATGTGGTCAGATGTTCACTCAACACACACACACCTGAGAGTAAAACACCTCTAAAGACCCCTGGGCTGTTAGTAACCACATTTGTGCCATGTATGCTTGGTTGGCCTGTAACATAATCAGTCCTCAGGCACCTGACCCCGTTTCATCTTGTTGCATATGCCATTATGTTCATAAATTGTATAATTAAATTATTTTAATTTTAATTATTTTTTAGGGTATCAATATATATATTGATAATATGTATATGATTGATATAATTGTATATAATTGCCTTTACGTTAATTCTAATTATAGACTTACATAATAACATATAATAATAATAATAATAATAATGCATTACATTTATATAGCCCTTTTCTAGGTCAAAGCGCTACATATGGAAGGGTGAATCTTAATGTGTATTTTATGTATTAATATATGTATGTAGCCATACTCAAATACTTAAGTGTAAAATTTGACTTAAAATAAAACAAATGATTACAGCATATATATATATATATATATATATATATATATATAGAGAGAGAGAGAGAAAACCCATATTTTACAGCATAACTACAAATACTGTAGTATTTCTAGAGCTGACTGTTTTTTGGGACCGCGATGTTTGTGTCTAAGTCATCAATTACAGGAGATAAATGATTTAGTTCGGGGTGCTGAACTATCACGTCTCTAAAAGTTTAATGTGACAAGCACAAGAACATATAACTAACCTTTAGGATCAAACATATCTATTTACCCAAAAGCTCTTCTTTCAGTAAAGTCTTCAGAGCATGTTTATTGACATGAATTTCATGTTGTTCCATTCAATAAGTAGGAAAGTAAATCAACAAAACAAAACAGAGTATCTGGCTTATTTTCAATTGCTCAAGTTTCCATCCGAAGTAGAAAACTTTCACTCTTTCAATTACGTCACTGAGTGTCAACATCACGTTTACTCTTTTATGCAACACTGTTTTTATATTTTTTTTCCTTAACATTGTGAATGTGTAAACAGAGAAAGCAAAAGGTTGGAAATAGGTTGGAAGAAATAAATGAAGGATGGATGGAAGGGTGGGAGGAGTGTAAGGTATAATGGGAGGAGGACCAAGTAGGTATATAAGATGCTGGCCATCGCCTCCTGTCTTCACCAGCATTCATCTCTCCTCAAGGAACAGAAGAGCAACAATCATCTAACAGCAAGGTAAGGGAAAGCAACAGATGGATGGAAGAACAGATTTTAATAGTGCATTTTAGTGCTAGGTGGATTTTGTGCTGTCTCATGCTCCTTTTGAGCTTTTGGACCAGACTGGAAAATAAAGACCTTGGCGTCTTTGCACAAAGAAAATCATGTGCTAAATAAAAGTTTGATGTAAAAATCGGCCATGTTTTAACATTGGCTTTTCTGAGGCTCCCCCCTCAAGTTTTGCATGGCTTGTGACTCATCTCTGTAGAGGTGAGGAGGGTTTTCTTCTCCTCTCAAGTTATTTTTTCCAACCCAGTATATTTATCAGTTCATCCATCAGGACAGGGCACAGATCAAACCCAGGGCAGTGTTATGTGTGTGTGTAGTTGGCTCGGATTACACTTGGCCGAGTAACTTCCTCCCCAGGTTCGGAGTGTGTTCTCCAGTTTAGGATTTCACTCTTATCTGGCGAGTCACATTTCCCTTCTGTAGTTAAGTTAAGCCCCTTGTAGGATGATCTGGAGGAGGAAGTCATTGCGTTTTATGCAGAGAATCTATGACTGCTTATTTTGCAATGTTTTTACTGTTGCGGTCTAAGAATATAAGCCTGCCTCGTGCTTTTAAATATTTAACACAAGCCAGAAATACTCCCCCTAAAGAAAACCGATTGTGCATCGTTGAGTGCATTTCATAAGTCTAAATAGAGTCACTTGCTACAGTGACCTATAAATGTTTTTCTCCAGAATGTCCGCTATAAACTCAGAGAATCCCTCCACGCTGGAGAACGCCATGCAGCTGATGATCCAGACGTTTCACAAGTACTCTGGGAATGAGGGCGACAAATATACTCTCAGTAGGCAGGAACTCAAAGAGATGCTAACGCAGGAGCTGGGCAACTACCTTGGGGTGAGAAGAAAGAGTTTTATTTTCCTTACGAAAGTCAGATGTTTATAATAATCTTTATCTGCATCTCTCTTGCTCCACAGAATGCACAGGATAAGGATGCGGTAGATAAAGTTATGGGAGACTTGGATTCAAACAATGATGGTGAGGTGGACTTCACAGAGTTCGTCATCCTCGTGGGCGCCCTCACTGTCGCCTGCAATGACTTCTTCCTCGAGTATCACGAAAAGGATGAAAAGAAGGGTGGCAAGAAAGAGTAGAGCTGGATTTCTCTGAACAAAAGCCAACACATGACCAGTAAATGATGATGAGGGGGAAATGGGGGGAGAAAGGGAATATTTGTGTGTATGAATCTTGCTTACTGAAAAAAGTTCCACATCATCTCTTCATCCATGTTCAGTGCAATCCTTGGTTCACAAAATGCTCCATCACGAGGTGATGTTTCCAACCCCTATTTGAAATAAAAGCATAAGGAATGAGATTGTTGAATATGTGAATATGTGTTTCTTCCTTCATTGATTTATTTATTTTTAACAATTGGAGTTGTTCATTTTAAAATAATCTCTCGATATTACAATAAACTGCAGATTTAAAAAAAAATATCTGAGGTTGGTTTGCTTTTTCAGTTGTGAATGAAGCGGTAATGCTTTACCACTGGATTAATCTTTTAAAGTTTTTTTTTTATTTATTTTTATTTTCGTCAATGTAAGTTTCACGTTTGAGGGGGTTAAACGACATCTACACATTTTCCAAAGTGGACTATTTAGGCTGCTTCATTTAAAATGTGACATTTAGACGTTTTTTTCAGCGTGGATCGAGGCAAATGAATCCTGTTCACCTTAAGTTGAAAATAATACATGTTTTTTGCATTTTAAATATTAGACCATTTCTCAGTGATCGTCAATAAAACAAAATTCCACTTTTCACGGTTTAATGAAAACCTGACATCTACACATTTTCCAAAGTGGAATATTTAGGCTGCTTCATTAAAAATGTGACATTTAGACGTTTTCTTCGGCGTGGATCCAGGCAAATGAATCATTTTCACCTTGAAAATAATATATATATATATATTTTTTTTGCATTTTAAATACATTGCAGTGATCGTCAATAAAAGAAAATTCAATTTTTTCTCGGTTTAATGAAAACCAATAGGTCGTGATGGTAAGTTTTAAAGGGTTAGTTCACCCAAAAATGAAAATTAAGTCATTAATTACTCACCCCCATGCTGTACCAACCCCGTAAGACCTTCGTTCGTCTTCGGAACACAAATAAAGATATTTTTGATTAAATTTGAGAGCTGTATAACTACCACATTGGCTCCTAAAGGACTGCCTCTTGACGGCCCAGAAAGTCAATGAAGAAAATGTTTAAATATCCCAAGTGACTACCGTGGCTCAACTATATATGTTTATCAAGCGACGCGAATACTTTTTGTGCGAAAAAACAAACAAAAATAACGAGTTTATTCGACTATTTCTTTTCTTCCTTGTAGGCCAGAACGAGACTTCCTTAGATTTCCACGACGCATGCGCGAGATTTGCGATCTGCTCACATCAGCTTACACCACTTCAGATCGCAATTCTCGCGCATGCGTCGTGGAAATCTAAGGAAGTCTCGTTCTGGCCTACAAGGAAGAAAAGAAATAGTCGAATAAACTCGTTATTTTTGTTTGTTTTTTCGCACAAAAACTATTCGCGTCGCTTGATAAACATATAGTTGAGCCACGGTAGTCACTTGGGATATTTAAACATTTTCTTCATTGACTTTCTGGGCCGTCAAGAGGCAGTCCTTTAGGAGCCAATGTGGTATAGCCTACAGCTCTCAAATTTAATCAAAAATATCTTCATTTGTGTTCCGAAGACGAACGAAGGTCTTACGGGGTTGGTACAGCATGGGGGTGAGTAATTAATGACTTAATTTTAATTTTTGGGTGAACTAACCCTTTAAGTGTAAGTTTCACGTTTGAGGGGGTTTAAACCGTGACATCTACACGTTTTCAAAAGTGGACCAACGTGTTGTCACGATACCGGGTTGAAGTAATATTGTTTATGCCACTTTGTTTGATATAATCACAATAATTTAACACATGTGGGAATTGAACTCAGGTCTTCTTGATTAAAGCCTAAAGCTTTATCAACTGAGCCACTGCATCTGTTGAGTTCAAGGGTGTATTGGACGGGGTTGTATTGCAGGTTTGGTTTTATTTGTTGAAAAAATAAATATAGAAATAGAATTTGACACAAGAGGGCAGTATAGCCCTATTTCTGAGTTTAAACTAAACCGTGACATCTACACGTTTTCCAAATTGGACCAACGTGATTATTTCACGTCTTGTCGTGATACGGGTTGGGCACTGAAGTTACAGGAATTTCTTCCCGTTGCTAAGCAATGGAACTAGGTCGAGTATTTAAAAGGTTATGGTTATGATATTCCAAAAAAAAAAAAAAAATTAGATGTTATTTTGAGTAAAACTGAATAAAATGAATGCATATGAAGTAGCAAAATATTGACTAAATTGAGGATATTTTCGCCAAAATACAAAAATGACTAAATACTGCGTATGTTGAACACTGATAGTGCGTTGAGGCTTGTCCATTAGAGGGCAGTATTGAATCAAAGCTGAACAAAAGGTCTCGGGTTGTCCAGAAGGGCAACTTGATTCTTAGTGTTTGCAGACAATAGACTGTAGACAGTAGCTCACTCATTTAAGAAAAGACTACAAGATAATGCTTATTTATTATTCAATAAAATTATATCTTCTTGCTTTCTACATGAAGCATTCACTATTTTTGTCACCAGGGATGTTGGAACATACAAAAGCCAGGTCCTGTTTTATGTAGCATAAACTGAAGGTCACATTAATATAATATGCGGACGTGCATTTCCTTTCTGCTCTCATGAAAAGTTAGCTTGAGAAGCTTTCAGAAAGGATGATGCGCAGACAACTTGAAATAAGACATGAATTTATTATGTTGTCAGGAGATGGCAATGCCAACGGATGTGAGTTTAGAGACTGGTAAAGAGGTCCTTGGGCAGCAGAACAGTACTCTCAACCATCTTGTTTAAGGATTTAAACAGAACTGACATTGCATTCAGTGCAACACATTTTCAACTTTCCCTAACAGAAAAACACAAGTGTGATGATTTGTGTAAATAGGCCAAGAATTGTCAAACACAATGATCTGATGAATTTCTAATCTTTATTGGACAGGATAAATGTGATCAGTTAGCCAAGGGAGGGAGGTGAGGATAGGAGGCGGGCATTTGAGTGTCAGTGTGAATAAGAAGGTGCACTCCTATTGGCCAACGCACAGATGTTTTGACACAAGAACCATTGTGATTTAACAGTTCTGGATTATTGCAGTAATGTATAGGCTGACTTGATCGTGACTTGGCATAAATACGTTTAGGGAGATGCTTTGTTTCTTCCCTTCCTTACATTTTTCCTCTTGATGAAGTAGAGATTTCAGCACTTATGGTAATGAAAGCTGATTCGCTTCTTTCATGGACAGAATGCTTTAATGAACAACAGAGAATACTGACTTTATGTCCTGTCATTGATGTCACACTGTGAACACACTGATTTGGTGAATCACTTGAAACCTCCTGCCATTTGGGGCCCTAACAAATACAAAAGTAATTCATTTATAGCTTGATTTCTGCCTTTTTTTTTTAAAGCTAACGGTCAAGGTAATGTAATAAAGCAACTGTACTATGCAGGTTTGTGGTTTGTAAAAAGGGCTTTTTTGCAGAACAGTGCTGGTGAGAGAAATATGAGAGGAGTAATGACAAAGACTAAAGCAGGATTGGATGAGTGCGAGGTCATTTGAAGCGCTCAGGAAATAAAGTCGAGAAAAAAATGTAATGGGTGAACATTTTTGCATAATCTGCTTTCTGAAGATTAGTTTTGGAGATTCCCTGCTTAATGAACCGTATGGATGAAAATGATAAATACACTTAAAGTATTAACTGCCAGCTAGTGGCCCTCGAATTCATTAAGGTCAAGTTATGATATGCAAAATACGAAGAAGGATTTGGAGGCTCACTTAGCAGGAAATAGCTAACAATGCTAGCATATTGCTTCACTTTGTTTTCATGAGCAAAAAATTATTTTTAACAATATGATTTTATCTGATTTTTATTCTATCTGATTTTATATATTCTCTTTATACCTGAATTGAGCTGAGAGTACTGTACTCTTGTTAATATCTGAAAGCATACTTAAATTAGGCAAAATACTTAAAGCTGCAATACCTAAGATTTAGATGCCGCTAGAGGGCGCTACATTCAAAACAACAACAACGGCTTTGCTTGATGATGACGTGGAGGAACGCGGAATGATGGGAACTGTTGTTTTCAACTCCACCGTGGATAAATCAGACGGGAATCGAAAATTAGTTGTCATGGATGAGGTAAAGTTCGATTTAACGTTGCGTTTAATGACATGCTTGTTTTTCATTAAACTGAAATAACCGCAAGAAAAGTCAGGTTTAAAAGTAAATTAGTTACTGTACGAGTCACTGGACGAAGCTATGGTGGAGAGGGTTTGAAGGGGCAGGTCTCTTGCAAGGAGTTGACGTGGCTGGTCCTCCTTGGTAACTTTATAAAAATAAAAAATCAATTTAATGTACATTTGACACATCTTTTCATGTCGTGTAAGCATTCAACCACAGCTACAGTTTCACAAAATTAACGTTAAGGGGGTCGCACACCGGACGAGAAGCTGCAGCGCCGCGTCGCGCCACATCTTTAAAATTCGAAAACATTATTATCTATAAGTGTAACGTTACACATACCGGCAGCGCCATTTGGCGTCTGTCCGCGGCGCCCAGCAACAACGACTCAGGACCGTGTTAAAAATCCTGCTGCGCCACAGAGCGCCATTTACATAGTTTTATATAAAATTGTAATTATTTTTGTCTCAAATCGTTGCTAATGGATCCTGACTTCGCCCTATGCTGAAATATGCATTTAGTTTTGCAGTCATTTACAGAAATCAGCTGCTTAAATGACAATTGCTGATGTTATTATTAGATTTTTCAGGTGAGATTCTCAATTCATTCAGTGAACGGATGCTCTGAGGTAAAGTTTTCAGAATGCAAACTCAGCAACGATTGTATTTAATTGTACAGTACAATCATAACAGAACAGACATTATCTTCATTTCATGTCATTAAACATAACAATATTGCTGGCCATACACTGATGAGAAAGTGCGCGTCCGGTGTTCGACACTGTGGAGTTGTCCTAAACGTGGCGCGACGCTTAATTCTCGTCCGGTGTGTGACCCCCTTTACAGCCAACAGTTCACATTCCGAAAATAAATGAAAAGAATAATTGTGCTCCATTCCATAACAAATGCGCGAAACAAGCTGACGTTTGTTGCTTGATAGACGCTAACGCACAACTACAACTACCGCATTTGTCCAGGACTACACGTAGTACGAGCGGAAACCGAGGTAAGTGGATATGACGCGATTGACTGGCGACTCCCAGCTCACCCCTGCTCATACGCCCCGTTTCCTTGGTTAAAATCTCAATTTTCTCGCGATTTAAACATTGTGAGTTATCATCATAACTAAATATATAACACTAGCCTTATGATTCTGGGATATTTGAATGCAAAAATCTTAGGTATTCCACCTTTAATAAACAAACAAGCATAGAGTTTGTGAATGACAAGCATTCAAATTATGCTGAAATCTGCAAATTTGTAAGCACATGGTCACTGATTTTTACCTAATAATCACCTAAAATCAAGTATTATCCAAACTTATGTTAACACTTAATTTGTTTTTGAATAATGGAATGGTCATAATCAATGGCTTTATATTTTCATGAGAAGCTATTATTTCTGAGGCACAAGTAATGTGGTGTGAGAGAACTGATAGGAACAGGATCTTTCTTTCTCAGAAAGAGAGAAAGGGAATGAAAGGAAGATAAAGGAGGCCATACTGCTCAGAATTTCATCATGACAACTTTTCATGCCAGTTTAGTCTCTCAGTGTCTCAATTTTAAACTCTCAGATTCTTTAAGTCTGTCGTATTAACCATTCTGTCCGACTACGGCAGACCTCAGTAAAGTATTTGGGAGCAAAAGGGACTCATTGAGCTCATCACTTATCTGTTCAGTGTTGTACTAAATATCCACAAGGCTTGGGACAACGTGTCTATGGATGGGAACCCTCTCCCACATCACAGAGAGCCTTTGTGGGGCTTTTTTTTTGGCAAATTTAACTGTTTTCATAGTGCCACCAAAGTCATTGTCTATTAACAAGCTCACTCTGATCTCATCAGGCATCCTCCCTCTTCACGTTGTGTGTCGTAGTAATACAATTCACATATTAATATGAATAATAATACAATACTGCATCGAAGCCCATTTTCAAAGGACTAGACACTCGTTTTCGCACAGAAATGAGAATGTTGTTGTTTTTGCAATATATGGATCATGACAGGCTTCAAGAGCGTAAGAAAAAAATAAGACAGATTTAATTATGAAAATCTGATAGAAATGATGTATGAGCAGACATTTAAGTTCATCCCTGTCTGTCTGGCTAGCTTGCATGTACAGGTAACAAACGGAAGTCATGTGACTCTTGCTTGTTTCAGAGCTTGTGGGCTGTGGATGGCTTTCTAATTGCAGAAAAGAGTGCTGATTGGCTGCTGAGAAAAGCAAACAGGTGTCTCCTTTCTCTCCGATTGGCTTGTGTGGTTTTTCACCTAAAAGGAGGGGAAGGTGGACTGGACGAAAGGCCTGAATGAGAATCCTGGATAAAATCCCCACTCTGCATGATAATCCAAAAAAGTTTCATATAAGGTTAGTCCAGAGTGACATTTGTACTCCCCTTCGGCAGACCTCCCCCTCCTCCCTTCGCCCTCCTGTCGCGACTGATGGTGGGGTAGATTCCATTGGTGTGGTGAGGGTTGGTGGTTAGTCAGCCAGGTGTGTGGGTGATAGTTTTGGCTGTGTAGTTTTGGAACAGAGGTTGAAGGAACATTCCGATTGTGCCAAAGACACACACAAACACAAAGATCCAAAGGAACAGACGATCGATCACCATGGCAACGTACTTCCAGTCCTCACTCACCTGTAAGATAAAAAGAACAGCAGATGAAAAAGGAGTGGATGGATGGATGGATTGAAATAACAGTGTTGTTATTGTACAAACAAAATACAAATATGAGTTGAAAAACTTCAATAAAAATTAGAAATGCTGCCTTGGCAACGAACTGAAATTAATTTAAATTGTATATAATGTCATTTAAAGTTAATAAATTTGTAAATTTAATAAAACTTTAAAAAATATTTATATCTTAAAAAAATATTAACAAATATTTTAATATTATATAAATAATTTTAAATGAACACTTATGTAGAGTACATCTGTTACAAGTAAAACAGAGGTCCGAGAGAAAGGGTGAAAAAAGGGTGAAATTCTTCCAATTATTTACTGAAGACTGTTATATATTTTATCTTATCCATGCTCTCCTTTTCTCTGTTTTCTAAAAATTACAAAAATGCAATACAAAAGCCTTTTTTTTTGTAGTTCACATACCTCGAATAGAGAATGCTTTTACAAATCCAAATAAATTAATTCATGAAATTATAATGAGGAAGCAAACAGGAAGTAGAATTGAAATCTAAATTTGAATGTACCAGTAATTCATATACATTTATTGACCATTTCCTAGACCTTTTCCCACATCATTTCCCATCATCTATTAGTATTTGCCCAACCCTGGTATAGGCTGCGTTCGAAAGCTTAGTAACTTGTTGCCTGACCTATCAGGCAATGACTTTGTAGTCAAAATTTGCGCACGAAGGAATCTTCTGAGGCATTGTTACGGTTTAATGATTTACAGCAAAATAGACCGAGCTTGTGATAAATATGCAAATATTAAATCACTACAATAGTAATTTCGCTCTAGAAATGACATAAAAAGTGGAAAAAGTTGTCATACATTTATACACAAACTGACCACCAACTGTGACAGAATGGAAAGTACAGGATTGTAGGATATCAAAAGCAGCGAAGGATACATCTATGCCACCTTCAAAAATCAATAAGATGAAGGTATCTCAGGAGACAGGAAGTGAAGCTAACATCGGATTCAGATGTGACTTGTTCCTACAATGCAATGTGTCCTCCAAAGGCAGCGCTTTCGGACGCAGCCATAATGTTTTTCAAAACCCCATCCCTAAATAATTGTGATTGATCTCTTTCCATGTCAGTCAAGCTGCTCTTCCTTAGTAGGCGGTTCTTGACCAGAATCTGCTGCAGTATGGACAGACCTTATGACGTCTTTTCAAAGGTCTGGTTACATGAGGCTGTAACCATACGTCATGGTGTTAAACCTGGGCCATAGATGCCATATTTGATTTGAGAGCTGCAGCAGAGAGGAATGAATAACAATGAATGAATCAGCGAAGAAAAGTGTTCTTTTTTTGGAACTTTGAACTCATTACATTGCAAAAGGCAGCAAGACTCTTCAAAATTCCCCTTTTGAGTTCCATGGAAAAGATAGCAGCAAATGACTTTAGAAAGACTGAGAGTGAGGGAATGATGGCAAAATTGAAATATCCCTTTAGAAAGGCAAAATGTCAAAGAGCAAGGAAGATGTCAAATGTAAAAGAGAGACAGGAGGACATATATGAGTCAGATAGAAAATGTGAGGGTGGGGTTCAAAAGAAAATTGAGAGGTAAACATAAGATGGAAAATTGAATGCGAATGTGTGAGAACGAGTGAGAAATAGAGAGAGAAGGGAGGAGAGAAGAGGGTGAAGGAAAAGGTTAATGTGAACAGAGACTTCATTCCGCCACACTGCTCTGATGAGGTGAGACACAGGGGACTTGAACCGTAACCACGGCAAAGGCTGCAAGGGAGTTGGCATGGAGACGCCTTGTTACCATGGGAATGAAACTGTGTTCAGGTCGAGATGACTGACAGAATTACTGAGTGCTGTTAATTTCACCTCATGTTGACTATAGTCCTGCTCTTAAAGAGAAACCAACTGCTCAAGCCCACTTAAAAATATTGCTGAGTTATAAAAATATATTGCTGACTGTTCGGACTAACAATATCATCAAAATAATGTCAAAAGATTAAAAAAAAAAACAACAACAAAAAACTTACAAGCCATTAATCTATAATATCTCCACTTATTCAGCAGTTTTCATGCTATGAAAGTGGCCAAATTAAAAGATAAAATAATATAAATATGTATCGAATGAACCGTAAAAAAGAATTAATGTAATTGAAATTTTAAATTAAATATTTTCAAAATGAAAACAATTAATACATAACAAAAATAAAAACAATTAAGAATTGTGTTCACTTATTACAGATTATATTATTAATAAAGATATTGTATTTTATACACATTATCTTCATATGATCTACAGTATCCTTATATATATTTACTTGTGTAAACACACACACACACACACACACAGTATATCTTATACATTACCGGTAAACATTATAATATATCTATTTTAAGATATTTTCATAGCCTATATCTATTTTCATATATCTTCAGAGATATTTATTTTCATAGATCTTCAGAGATATTTTCGAAATCACCTCCGACCTAGATATCTACAAATAGATCAACTGGCTTGACTATCTATCACTTGGCTTCTAAAAGGCACATCTTTGTTATAAAAAAAAGAAAAAAATCACCTCATGTATCATCCAGCACAACTGCTACTCTCGTACGTGAGTAATGCTGAGACTTAGACGGTGTTTGACAGAATGGGACTGTAAGCCATTTAAATGCCAACAGTGAGTGTAGTGCTGATGTGTAGCTGTGCTTTGGCTAAAGACCACATCTCTTTTTTAATGCTTTAGGACTTGCCTGTCAAAGCCTCCACATCAGAGATTATTAACCACAAGCATGGAGCTGCATATTGATCTGAGTTTGTCTGTAGGAACGAGTGTAAGTGTTCACTGAGCTCATAATGAATGCCAAGTTTTGAGTCAGGGCTGTGTAATCTATTGCTCACTCCTAACAGGTTTTTGTATATTTCCAACTTTTTTTAGTTGTTTTAGTTGTAATTGCAGCAAAATAATTTTCAATACTGACATAGAAATGACTGCAAAGTGACTGAAACTGCGGCTTGGTTCAGCTCAGCTTATGTGAATTTAGCACTTTTGTGTCAACCACAGTTATCTCTTCATTTGTACAGTACAGCAGATACAGGTCCAGTTGTAGAGTAAGCTCAAAAGAAATGGGATCAAATACTGGCGTTACAGATATCTGCCCAACTCTGAAAAATAGGCCTATAGTATCAGAGTCAGGGCTTTGATTAAGCCAGGAATAAGCACTTTCTATGGAGGGACAGAAAAATCTCATGTTTCATTAAAAAATATATTGTGTTGAAGATATTCAAAGATAAAGACTAATGGGTTTGAAATGACATGGTGAGTAATTGATGACAGAATGTACAGTGTGCCATTAAATATAATTATTACAGTTATCGGGTATCTATCACAGCAGCCATTATTGTATGATTATTCATTTAGTTGTGTAGGCCTACATTAGCTCTTTAGCACCAAAGTTATTTGTTTGAACAAGAGGAGATGTTTTCATCTCATATTTCAAGTCTCAGTCACCATACTTCTGTCAGTGCCACTACTATCACTTAAGACAACCTCATCGACACGACAGTCATCAGCAATGTTCCTCAACAAAACTGTCTCCATACCGGCGTGATGACTCTGATCCTAAACCAGATGGACCTGGATAATATTCTGATTGTTCCAAACCAATCTGACTTCTGCCCTATAATGCTGTCTGAATCATGATCATACACGTTTGGCTCATTGGTCAGGGGAGAACTGGTCCCCTGATTGAGCCTGAGTTCACCCAAGTTTTTTTTCTCCATTGGAGTTTTGGTTCCTCACTGTTGCCTTTCCCCCCCTTTGTTGCCATTGGCTTGGCTTGCTTGGTTGGGGACATTTAACATTTAATTTAATATTCAACACTAATATAGATCTGCCTGCATTGACACTATTATACAAGAACTGAACTGAATAATAATAAATGTGTCTTGACTTGACTTGAACAGGAAGCATTATTTAAACTATGACTGTTACGAATGATAGCATGCTATTGTTGCTAATGTGAAACCACTCATCATTCACTCATCATTATGAAAGAGAATGACTCACACTCCGGTCGTCGTCCTCGCTCTTCATGTGGTTTGCGATGAAGCGGACTCCATCTACAGCCTCCTCGAACCCTGGGCAGGCCTGGGCCAGCAGAGCCTGGGTGAGGACCGTAGGGGGCTGCTGCTTCCCCCGAGGTAGAGCAGAGCTCTGCAATGGATTCGAACCTCCTTCCCTGGCCTCTCTCCCCCCTTCCCTTATCCCGTTTAGTCCATCTGTGGAACCCCCTCCACCACCCCCTCCACCCAACTCTGCCCCAAACTGTTTCACTGAGGCTCGGTTCACATAACATGTGCACGCCTCATTGTTCTCTTTATTCCCTGATGAAGAGCCGCTGAGGCCCAGTCCTGCCATGAGCCCAGCAGCCAGACCCCCTCGCCCACCTTCCTGCTGTTCATTGGCACGACGGCGTTGGCGCAGGCGCTGTCGCTCGCTGCTGTTTCGAGGCTGCTGCATGAAGAGCAGGGTAGGCAACTTGTTGAGGAACACTAACTTCACCCACGGAGGCATAGTGTGTGTAGTGGGTGACCGGTGATGCACGTTCAGCACGCACACGCTCGTAACAATGGAGAACGTGACCAGCACCATGGTGAACATCAGATACTTCCCGACCAGGGGGACATCGAGAGACGTGGGTGGCACGATTTTGGAGATCAGCAGCAGGAACACAGTGAGGGCCAGCAGCACTGAGATACAGAGCGTCATCTTCTCCCCGCAGTCTGATGGGAGGTAGAACACTAGGATGGCCAGCGAGGTGATGAGGATGCAAGGAATGATGAGGTTGATGGTGTAGAAGAGGGGTTTGCGGCGGATGATGAAGTCATAGGTGATGTCTACGTAGGTTGGGTCCAAGGGGTTTTCGTTTCGTCGGCCGGGCAGTGCGATGATGTCCCACTCGCCACTGGGTGTGAAATCGTCCATGCTAGCCACATCCGCGCGCAGAACCAGGTCCACTTCTGTGCGGTCGTAGGTCCACGAGCGGAAGCTCAGAGTGCAGTTCTGCTGGTCGAATGGGAAGTGCTTCACCTCAATTTTACAGGCACTCTTATAGATTGCTGGTGGCAACCAGAAGACACTTCCATCATAGGAGACAACAGCATTGGAGTAGAAAGACACCTCATACATGCCGTCAGCACTGATGAGGAATAAGACAAAGGGGTTATGATGTAGGTTTTACTTTAAAGGAAGCTCCATCAACAGCAAATGTGCCATAATCATGATCATGTAAAAAAAAAAATGTCCTTATCTCTTTAAAGGCACAAACGGTAACAGTAAATCTTTCAATGGATATACTATTTCGGTAACACTTTACAATAAGTTTCATTAGTTAACATTAGTAAATGCATTAACTAACATGAACTAACCATGAGCAATGCATTAGTTACAGTGTTTATTAATCTTTGTTAATGTTAGTTAATACAAATACAGCTGTTCATGGTGTGTTCATGTTAGTTCACAGTCCATTAACTAATGTTAACTAATGCAACCTTTGATTTAGTAACGTATTAGTAAATGTTGGAATTAATATTAACTAAGATTAATAAATGCTGAAGAAGTATTGTTCACATATTGTACATGTTAACTAATGTAGTTAACTAATGTTAACTAATGAACCTTATTGTAAAGTGTTACCACTATTTTTACTTCAGAAGGTTTAATTATAGAGCTTTAAATTTGTCTAAATTGTCCTTTTCAGGTGGGAATATTTTTCTAGGTTGATATGTTTTAGGTTATGCGTTACTGATTTGTAGATAGAGAATGCTTCATGTAAATGGTGCATTACAGTTTTTTAACTTAAAGGGATACTCCACTTTTTTTTGGAAATAGGCTCCTTTTACTCCCAATTGATGGGACCAAAAACTGTCTGGTTACTGATATTCTTCTAAATATCAGAAAATTGCCTGAATGGATTTCAAAATGGTAAAACTCAAATGTTTAACTCTGAGGGAGTTGTAAAATGAGCCTATTTCCAAAAATATATCCCTTTAAATATTTCCAAAAGTATCCCTTTAACTTTGCACACATTGGCCCTCATTTATTAAAAGTGCGTACACCAAATTTCCAGCATACACCTGGCGTACACCCAAAACCACAGTGACTTTGAGATTTATCAATATGGACGTTGGCAACGGCAAGCTCAAATCCAACGCCAGCTCAGAAGGTTGTGTACGCACGTTTTGAGTTAGTGAGGAAATTCGCAGAAAAACAATTCCTAACACCACAGAACGCACTGACAAACTAAAAAATATGATATATTACGACCCACTGTAAAAAAACCCAACAATTTACTAATTATAAACTTAAGTGTTTATTTTTGTGCAACATGGACTTCCGTGTTTAATTTGTGTGACTTTACCAAAGCATTTGATTGTACACCCCAATACATGTGACGTGATTCGAAATTGAATGCTAATTGTTTCAAAAGATGTGCTGTAAAATAATATATTGTGATTATATTAGTCTCTAAAGTCTCTCTTCTTTGCCAGCGTGGGTGAAGCAGAGACTTGAATATTTAGGGGCGTGTTATTCTAATGACGATCGTTTTCAGCCACGGGATTTATTAAGGGCAGGCATTGCGTGCACCTGGATTTCAAAGGTACGCACAGCTTCATAAACCAGACGGTGAGAGGATTGTAAGCATAATCTTACGCCAACATTTACGCCCGTTTCTACGCAAGAATGATAAATGAGGGCCATTGTATGAATGTTTGACTGTTTACGTCATCATGACAACAAATATTTTAACATGCACATTTTACAGATGGCACACTGAATTCAATGGACACACTTTATTGGCTTGTGCATTTGCTGTGAATCCATCCCATGACCTTGAAAGCTTGAATTTCTTTTAACTTTAATCAACTTTACCACAACTAGGTGATTAAATAATTTTAGCAAATAAGTCACATGACATTACATTGTGCAACGTATAATGTCATAAGTCATGTGGGTATAGTTTTAATAGTGTTTTTCATATTTACTGCCTGACCCTGTTACTTGGTGGTGTGTCTCACAAGGTTTATTAATGGCACATAAAGACAAACACAGGAAGGATTCTAGTATTAACTAGTCTGAATTTAAAATATCCTCCACCACGTGACATGACAGTGTGAGAGGAGGAACATACTTTATTTGCAGTGAGGTCATGTAATGTGACACAGGGACACTGCTAATGAAATGAAGACTGATAAGCAGGGATGTTATCTACTAATGGGTGATGAAAAGAAAGGATTAGACATGATAAAGACAGTAATAATCTGACTAGATAAGTAAATACTCAAGAGCCAAAAATGATGGGATGGGATGATCTTTGAGACTTACTTGTTGTAAAGAACAACATCAGGTAACCAAATATGTTTGGAGGGAAGACGGACCTTCTTCATGCCGTCAAACTCATCTGGGTTCCATGTTAGCCGGTAGTCCTGCCACTCCTGAGGACAGAGTGAAAATAAATAACCATGATAGACTCAAGAAGGGCTTTAATACCTGGAAAAAAAAACAATCTGTTAGTATTCCCGTTTTGCAGCCAGATAATGTAGTTACAACACCTACTAGCAAAACCGTGAAATACACTCTATGGCCTTCCTCCACACATATTTCTCCTTATGACACGAACCCGTCAATTCATGTTGACCTGTGAAACCAGCAGTGTAACCAACCCTCATGCTGTTAAGATCATGTTCATCTGTCACACACATCACTGCTCTCAGTTAATTAGCAGTATATTTCGCATTTGCATTAATGATCTGTCACATTTTATTACTAATATAATTTCTTAATAAACTTAATAAACTTGAAATAATTACTTGGTCATAAATTCGGACAGATTAAATAGACTGCAAATGAGAGCTGTCAAAAGGCATAACCTAACTAATGGTAGTCATCTTAATACACACAAAAAGAGTGCTAAATGTCTAATGATGGTAATTTAACACACTTCCTGTTGGGTTTTGACCAGATAGTGACCACTAATGTAATTATATTACATTCTTTACTCTGAAACACCAATCACATACACACACTCTAGCTAGAAAAGACACACCGTTGCAAAGTTTTATGGGTAATGACAGCGGTAATAACTCCTGTCAACTGACATCTGGTCATAGTGACCATGAGCAGATGATGTAGAGAGGGCGTGACAGAAAGATGGAGAACGAAACAGAAAAAAAAGAGATATGTGTAAGAGAATACTGTATCTGTACAAACTGATTTTGATGAGTAGTTACACAGAGCCTGTGTAGGCCTGGCAGAACGGATGCTGAAGGGAGTGAGGACCAAGGGGATACTTAAGCTGGTCCTCACTTAAACATAATCTTAAAAAAGATTACTTAATAAAAGTTTTTAAATGTGTTTAATAAAAACCAATGAATAGCTCATGATAGAAAAACAAATGTGTGTGTGTGTGTGTGTTTGTGATATAAAACACTTTACATCTGGAAAATAAAATGGAGCATAAATAATGCAAGTATCGACTGACCTGTGTAAGCCAGACATTGGTGGTCATGATCTGTTCTCTCTCATGCTGTGTAGAAAAAACAGAGGAAGGTAAAAATTTACACAAACTGCATAATCAATCAAATTTGATGAATAAAAGGGTGTTTTAAGCCCCAAATATGCTTTTCCAGATATTACCTTTCATCTATAAAGGTCTGCAAAGATTTAAAGATCGAAGTGCACAACAAATAGAGTTAATAACCCCCTAAAAGAAAGAACCGATTCTGGACAGTCTGAAATGATATTTCAGTCTTACTTCTAACATGAACCTAGGTAATTGTATAGCAAATTTGCATAATGCCAGCCTGATCTTCATTGGCTGCCCACGAACAACGTTTATTTTGACCTGACTTCAAACCTTGTTAGTTATAGCTGATGTCTGGAAGAGTTTGGTTCCTTTTATCGCTATGTCGAGAAGATTCTGTTTTCTGCGATGCGAGAACTCTTCGTATCACTGTGTATCAAGTGCCTTTGGAACTGAAATTCCAGTCGTTTCCGACACATGCTGTAAGCAGTAGGCCAATCATAACAGAATGGGATATCTGACCAATCAGAGCAGAGTAAGCTCTTGTAAAGAATGGGTTCAGAGAGTCTGAAACCTTTATCAAACCTTTTCAGGCACTGTGAAAAAAAGAGCTGATGCTGCAATGTACATTAAAGCTAGGGTATACGATTTCAAAGATTGCTCATTATTAATATCCTCGTTTAGATGCTGGTTATGGTTATATAGTACAATCCTAACAATATGAATAGAAAAAAGAACGAAAAAAATCCATTCACTCTATTGGCTGTACAGCCGCAGAAAAGTTGACCAATGTAAGCTGTGCGGCCGCACAGCTTATATTGGTCAACTGCTCTCATCCAATCACCAGCTCCACTTGAAACTCCGCCTGGCGCTCGCGTCTCCAACCCAACCGCACCCGCCCCGCCCCTGCCCCCCTCCGTGCGTGAGCAAACAGCTGACAGACTGTCTATGGTAGCTAGCTAGTAGCGTCAGATCAGCAATGGATAAAGCAATGGATAAAAATATAAACTACAACAGCAAGCGGCCCCTGCTTGCCTCTACTGTAAAGTTAGGACGCAAGAGAAAGTCTGTGGAGGAAAGATCAGAGATTAAAAAGAAATGTGAAGAACGCCGGACTCTAAGTAGGATAAATATAGCGTCCTTCATTGACCATTGGAGAAAGCTTCAGGGAGATCTGGGGCTGAAAACGACGCTGACACGGATGACTTTTTGTTGAGCAGGTAAACATTTATTTATTCTTTTATGGTGTGACGTGTTACGTGGCTTTTTATCAGTTTGACAACTTGCTCATGCTGCCGGTCGGCATTGGAATGTTAGCCGTTTAGCATCGCCGATCGCGGTTCAAAGTAATTATATTTCTTGTTCGAGGTTTCTGTTCGAGCCGATCGGAATTTGAACAAGATGCGCTGCGTGCTGCAATAACAATTACTGAAAACCTTAGCAATATTATAATGGTGGTGGGGAGTTTAGAACATTTCATGTGTTGCTAATCTTGCGTTGACGTGAACTCAAACGTGACATACGTCAGGGATCAGGTAGCGCAGAGGGGAGGGGGGTGTGTGTGGAGGGGCGGGATGAGTTTTTTAAAACTTCCCTACCGTCTCGACCGATTTTTAACATCGTATACCATAGCTTTAAGAGAAAATTATAATGTTTTTTATTTTTTTTATTTTTTACTTTGGACACATGTGATGTGAACCTATTGTAGGTGACTTTCAAAACAAATTTAGGAACATTAAAATAGCATTATGGGACACTTAAAATGATTCTTTTATGATCCCGAATTCATTAAAATGTAGTATTATACCATGTACAAAAATTTAGATCAATAGACTTAAAGTTTATCGATCAAAGGCTACAATCTTGAGCATAATGGTTATTTTATGGATCAAGGACATTAAGAAGCCCTTGCCGGCCTCTCCAGAGATAAATTACATGACACTGTTTTTTCTCCAGCTTTCAGCCCAGGTAAGTGAGCTGCTGCTTTAAGGTGCATTACAAGCATGAAGGAAGCATGTAATTAGCTGACAGCTGAGTTGTTAGCAATGACGAGTGGTCAGAAAGCATGGGTAATTTGCTGCACCTGTGGGAACAGAGATGGCTATTTTATGTTGTCCATATTCGCTTCCTGCATCATACTGACAACATTTAAAAAATAAATAAAATAAATGCTAATACTGAGGCCTCAGAGCTAACTGCATTATGTTACCGCTCCATTTTAGACCTAAGTAGGCTTACTGAACTTAGAGGTATAGTACCACATTGAAAACTGTAATTTGATTAGACAAGAGGCTTTTGTTAAATGCTCCATCTCAGTCACTGCTAACTCTTTTGAAGATGACGACTAGTGTCACGATTTACTCTACAATTTGTAAACACTAAAAAATATACAAAGCTAGAGTCAAAACATTTTAGTGAAACCTTTACTATTATGAATACTGTATTTAAATATAAAAGAACAAAAGTAATCATCACTGACCACACTGATGAGCTGGGCCAGCGAGACCATCAGCTGCACGGTCACCAGTTCTGAACCATTAGTCGCTGGTCGGATGAGTTTGTTGTAGTGGGCTGGATTAAGAAGATGCTCCACGAGTCTTTCTTCTGTATCTGCCCCATCACTGCCTGTAAGATATATATATATACAGTAGATCAATACACATCCCACATTTCAAAAACATTACCATTTTTGGATGTGGCATCTGTTGTGTAGTTTTGTTTAAATCTGAGACACAGCTGCAAAACACAGAAAACCTCCTCTCTGGAGAACAACTATATGAAACAGAAATCTGCTATAACAAAATTGCATGGAAACCGAATAATAATGCTCACTCATTAATCATTTGTAAACTGTTACATTTAGCTTACTGCTTTAGGCAGCTAAATAGCTAGCATGTATTTTGTTTATTATTAATTTTGGCAGGACAGCAGAAAAGCACTGACTTAAATCTTCTTTATTTTTGAGAGTGACAGACAAACACCCATCACCTGCTTATAAAACCCTTGTTGCATGCTTACAGCAATTGACTAATAGCACCTACAGATCAATCCAGTGGGATGGCTTTATCCATCAAATCAAGTAAAAGCTGTTTTTCCCTACTTCAGTCTGTTACATAGGGCCCGTATATTTGTAGGTTAATCTTCACTACCAAATGTAAATCAACACAGAATTTGTAATCTTTACTAGATAGTACAATATAAAAATATAGAAAATATAGCTGCGTGCAGCGATGCCGGGCCCAAGCCGGCAAGCATATATATATATATATATATATGTATGTATTTATACATACACATTAGATCTTTCATAGATCTAATGGCCACCAAAGCGCTTTACATTTTTGCCATACATTCACCCACTCATTCGTCGGGAGCAGCTGGGGTTAGATGTCTTGCTCATGGACACCTCGACACTTGGTCAGGTGGAACCAGGGATTGAACCACCAGCCTTGCAGTTTGTACAAATCTACAGTCTACAAGTACTGAGTATCTTTGCTGTGCCTGCAACGCGTTCTGTTTCGCTTCGGCGATGAAAAAACAGATTATATCAGCCCATCGAGCTGTATTTATAGGCCCAGACCACACCCATCTCGGCAGGACGTAGATCCCATTGGATCTGACGTCACCAAGGGCCTCTCTCGATAGGCTGCTGCAGTCGCCGCAGGACAGCCAATAGCCACACGAGACTTCTTGCCTATCTGTATGCTGCTGCAATGTGTTTTACATTAATCAAAAAATTAAGGATATTTTTTGCCCTATATATCTCGTGGAAAAGAGGTTTTCCCCTAGCGAGAATATTATGAGATGAGATATTATGCAGTACTCGTTCCGTCTTCTAGAGAGAACCGAGGTTACTTTAGTAACTAAGTACGTATTCACTTTTCCAGTCTTGTTGTTTTCTCCTTTCCTGGGGTCAGCATAATAAATCTCTTCTTTCTCTCTCTCTCTCTACTCATCCATCCCGTTCTCTCTGTCTGTCTCCCTACCTCTTATTGGTTTGTTCTTGTTGTGTTCAGTGGACAGGAATGATGTTTCTATGGCACAGATCAATAAAGACCCTAATCACATGCCATAAACTCTCTCTTTCTCCTCTGCTCTCCTCTGTGCACATGTCCACCCTCTAAATTTCTCTGTCTCTATCTAAATCCAATCTCTTTTTTGCTCAGCTTCTTTTATTGCTCCTGTCTTTAAAAAAAAAAGACCATGCATGAGTGAAATGAATGATTTGGTGAGTCGTGTGCTTGTTTGTCTTTATATAGGCTGTAATGAATATTCTAAGTTTTAACATTACTTTTGTTAAAGTTAAGGTCCAGCTATACAATTCATTTAATTTAATGTGTTATTTAAAGAGTACAGTATATACCAATGAGCATTTTGAGATAATGTACTCCAGGCAAATGTTTTTCAGGTAGTGGGCAATCCTTGATTAGTCAAAAAAATAGAAATGATAAAAACGCATGGTTTATTAACTCATAACTGGCAGGGGTCAGAGGCATCCAAGAAATCCAAAAACCAAGAGACATAAAACCAGGGAAAACACTCAGAAATGCAGTGCAACAACATACAAAACTTATTATTATTATTATTATTATTATTATTTATTGGCAACCACACTTAACAGTGCATTACTGCCATCATCAGCTAGCTTGAAACAGAAACACTTCCTATACTTCTTAACATTCCAGAAAACTGGAAGCTATTATAACAGCAAACAGAGGATCCACTCGAAATGACTGTAAATCAGCAAAGGCCACAATGACTATCCTCCTTCCATTCCTCGCAATCTTCCATTCTTTTCTCTCTCAGTCCATCCATCCTTTCCCCTTTGGCCTTTTTAAGACAATGTTGTGAGGGCCTGTGTTGAGGCAGAAGGTATTTTAATAAATCAGCATGTTTTCTCTTCCTCTTTGATCCTCTCTCTCAGAATATCTGGGTGTTTGCAAAGCTATATAAAGCCAAGCAGTAGGATGCGGTCTACTCCAGCTCTATATAAGTGCTTACTGCTTATAATGTTTCCCTGCTGTGCTTTCGCTTGTGTGCGGATCTACTCTCATTAAAATATTGTAGGGGAGACCGGGGGCAATTGTGACATGTTTTGTATTTTCTCTCTTTTACATATCTCTTGGTATGGAGATGCTATATATGTGTGCCCAAATTCTCCATTAATAGACTCAATTTAACCTGCCATGAATAATGTTTTCAAAGAAAACATTGAAATGTTATTATATTAAATAATTTAAATTGTGTATACCATAACTACCAACATTGTCATTCATCAATGCACTTATGGTCTGTCAATCATTTTAACATTATAATGTGAGTTTTTTCCCCCACATTTTTAACTCGTCTTTATTTTTAGGTCATGTTTCAAGAATATTCAAGCTGGCAGTAATAAAACATCTCATTAAGAAACCACAATTAGATCCAAATAACCTGGCAAATTACAGACCCATTTCAAGTCTTCCGGGAAAATAATAGTTGTGTCCGCTCAAATGTGCTTTTTCTTGCAAGAAAATTACATCTAAGACAAATTTCAGTCAGGATTCAGACTGCATCATAGCACAGAAACTGTGTTAGTTATAATTACAAATGATTTACTTTTAGCTTCTGACCAAGGCTATCTCAAAACTAGTTCTACTCGATCTTAGCGCTGCGTTCGACACTATACAGTAGATCATAAATTCATAAAATACTCTTGGATCGACTACAAAACTACACTGGTGTGGTGTTCAGGGACAGGCATTAAGCTGGTTTAGATCGTACTTATCAGACCGTTACCATTTTGTTACCAAAGATAACGTCAGTAGACTGTGGAGTGCCGCAAGGATCGGTGTTAGGCCCTCTGCTATTCTCCATATATAAGCTTGCCACTTGGGAATATTATAAGAAAACATGGAATTAATTTCCACTGTTATGCTGATGACACTCAATTATATATTTCATTATGACCAGATGAAAACACTAACTTATATAAATTGACAGAGAGTCTAAAAGATATAAAATGCTGGATGACGTGTAATTTCCTCCTATTAAATTCTGATAAAACGGAGGTATTACTTATTGGTAAAAAAAAAAAAAAAACTACCCACAAAACCTCTTGCAATACAACTAGACAGCAACTTGTCTTTCGAAAGTCATATTTCATATGTTACAAGAACAGCCTTTTTCCACCTTAGAAATATTGCTAAGCTACATAACATGCTATCTGTTTCTGATGCAGAAAAGTTAATTTATGCATTCATGAACTCGAGACTAGATTACTGTAATGCTTTATTAGTTGGTTGTCCTGCATCCTCAATAAACAAGCTACAGTTAGTGCAAAATGCAGCTGCCATGTTCTTACAATAGGTCAAGAAAATATGATCATACAACACCAATTTATCATCTCTACACTGGTTACCTATTAAGTTCCGTATCAATTACAAAGTATTACTACTGACCTATAAAGCCCTAAATGGTCTAGCTCCTGTGTATTTAATGGATTTGTGTTCCACAAAAAAGAAAGTCATACAGGTTTAGAACAACATGGTCGTGATTAACAACATGGTGGTGAACTATCCCATAATGACAGTCCACAAACATTTATCACACATGCATATATTACATATTTTAATGAATGAACAAATGGACGAAAAATGGACGGATATTAGATTCATACCATCTAAAATGTCAGATACTTTCTAACATTAGATGTCAGAGAGTATATTCCAAAGCCAACATACAAAAAAAGCTAATTTAAATATGGTGTGCATTCCATACATTCATTTGTGAATAGCTTATAAATTAGGGTAAATATCTGAAGCACAAAATAAGTCTTTCCTTCCAAGCTATTGTGCTATATTTATGCACTGTATTTCTGCAGTACATGCCTTTCGAAGAGAAGAAAGAGAGAAGTCATATCAGGAGGAAAAGGACAATGTGTTTTAGACAGATGCCTAGAGCTGGTGGTATTGATCTCAGCATAAAGTACACTCATAACGGTGAAAGCTTCCAACGACAGGCCAAACTAATTGCTGGCCATAGAAAGCTATTGTGTTACCGCACATCGCATTGCATCACACATACTGCAATCCATTCCACAAGGACACGAAAGGGAGTCAGCTTCATAAGCTCATTTGGCTGACATTGTCTTCTTTACAGGATAATCTTGCCTGACAATATGTCCCCAAATTATACCTCTCAGAATATGGTTTTGGTGTCACTTTTTCCTTTACCAGAATAGAAATTGCACCTCAAAATAAGAATGTTATTTCAGAATATTTTATTTTCAATCATAAAATGTCATAAAAATCCTTACAGCTGTAGACTGTTCTTTTATTCTGTGCAATAAAACTGAATTACAGTAGCATTGCTGATTCCTGTAATGATGTAATCAAAGCATTTGTGAATATAAATTTGATCACACATCTAAAGGCTGAAAAGTCTTGGATCACAAAATTGGTATTTAAGCATTTCAACAACACTCTTTTTTTTTTTCTTTGAATGTAGGCTATACACTGCACTCTTTAAATGGGCTGTAAAAGGAATCGATATAGCACTCTGAACCTGTTTTATTGTTATGCTTCCCTGCTGTTTCTGGGTCTGTCTTCCTTCTGAACCATCACAATTTGTGCTCCATAGACATA